AGGTTGGCACAATAAACTTTAACTATATCAATATTAAACCTATAAATATATGCACAGAGATCTCTTTCCCCACCATCATAAATAAGTATATTTACATATGTACATACCTGCATTTAGACCTCCACAAATGTTCTTTACTTCCTGGTTCTTTCCTCTATTTCCTTTGACTTTCCTCTTGTCCCACTATCACACTCAGCCTTCATTCGGGTTTCAGTATTCCCTCTCAGGTACATTGCCCATTAAGGCGGTTCTCTCTCAGTACAGACAGCCCATCTAAAACACCGAGGGCTGCACAGGTGTTACCGAGAATTGCTAACCCAGTAATACTTCCCATGAGACTACTTTGATGCTTTCTTGACACCGCCTGGTCATCTCTTGGATGAGAATTTGAAGTATTTCAAGAAAAGGGTGCATCTTTGACTGATGCTGCTGTTAGCAGCTTTCAGGTTGTCCTTTGGCTCAAGGAAATCTGTGCAGTAGAGTAAAATTGTTCCACAGGGCTCTGGGTTGTTGTTGTTTTGTACTTTTGTGGTGCGAGTAGAGAGTGGGGTGGGGATGGGGGGCCTATAATCTTTGAAGAAGCAAATTGTTATGCTACGGGAGCTCATTTATCTTACTACGAAAGATAATAGAATTATTTATTGTTGTGAGCATATTTTCAGTGACGTGGACAATGTTATCCCTCTTTAGAAATTAGGATTTTATTTACTTATTGAGGTGTTGCTGTCATGGATCGATATATGGAGAGCCATCCTTTCTTTGTTCTGGGGCATTAGGGCCAGCCACTGTACATAGACTTCTCTGGAACATGGCAGCACATTTGGCCAACCTCTGATTGACTCTCTTCCTTCTCATTATTCTTTGCCATAAACTCAGGACAGACACTGACCATGACGCAAAGGGACTTTTCTTGAGCAGCAGGTTATCAGATATTGATGAATTGCTCTGGAAGACTTGGGAGGCTTGAGACAAGAGATTCTTTGATTGCAGAGCTGACACCTGGCCTCTATCGCTCTGAAGAGGCCCTAAAGTCAATCAAGAGAGTGTACCGAACCGTTCTCTGTGGGCCATCTTCCATCAGAAGATTTTGGTCTTGTTTATTACAACAAAATTGGCTGCGAATCCTGATAATTAATGGATGACTGATGTGCTTTCATTGCTCTTTCTCTCGGTGACGAGCAGCTGCTCTCCTCCTGGCATCGTGTCCCGAAGCTGAACAGTGAAGGTTCATGTTAGAGTGTTAAATAATGAATCCTTACGGAAGCACCAAGCTCGAGTTTGATAAAAAATGACTTTGTCAACATGGCTTTGATGGTGTCCCCGGGGTCTGCTACATCCAACTTGAAAAGTATATTGATATTCTCAATTACTACCACACCTGGCACGCATTGCTGTCGTGTGTGGTCGCGTGACTCCAGGTGGTGAGAGACAGATCTCTGCGGCTGTAAGGAATCTATAACTGCCTGTGTAATCGACCCCAAGAAGGCATACACTTAGAAAACTAGCACCACAACAAAAAGGAAACGAGCAGGAAAAGTAAATTTAAAGACTCTTTGGATCATGAGGATACCGAAGTAAGCAATTTCCTCTGCAAAGCAGTCATTAAGCATTGCACAGTAATTTTCATTAGGAGGTTAGAGAGCAGGGAAAGATGTTATGGAATAAGAACCCCGAGGTCTTTTGTTCACTCTAAATGGTCCTTTTGTCTTCGATGGGAGTGTACAGGCCATTGCAAGAAGCTTTCCAGAATGCATCTCTGCCCCATGCCCTTGCTTTGCTCTGACCCCATGACCAGCCGCGGTTGAAGCTTCACTGCAAAGCGAGACAACGCCTGGGAGGAGAGAAGCAGTCGGGAGAGAAGAGGGGAAGGAAGGGAGCGAAGTCAAGAGGAAAAGTTACTGGCTTTTTCTCAGTGGTGATTAGCTTAAGGCCCACAGCTTAGATTTTGTTGGCAGTCAGGTAGCTGTTTCTATGGCAACAACCGGAGCAGCAGAGTTATCAAAATGTGATACGTTGCAAAGGCAGAAAGTAAAGTGAAAATGCACTATTGTGTTTGCAGAGCACATCTCGGGTGCTTTGTTTCTTCTGCTGCTGCTTCCTTTCTTTCGCTTGGTTTTTGGGCAAGTTAGGATTAAGAGAGAGGAAGAGAGGACATTGACAATTCTTGATTTAGGAAAGAAATTGGATTAAAAACCAGTGGGACATTCTTTTGTTCTACATTATTTGATGGAACATTAGGTTCAGCAGCTTAACATTAATCAAGAGTTGTTAAAACTAGAAAACAGGCTATCCAGGTTCCCCCAAAGACCCACATGACACCAAATTAGAAGGCATCAACCCTTCAGAGCTGACGGGCAGTCGATTGTGCCGATGTGTTGTTGTACCTTGTTGGACTGAAGGGCGGGTATCCCTGTATCAAAGAATGACCATAACTTGAGAGAGAGGTATAGAGGATAGAAGATACAAGAATTCATTGTACGTGGATGAGTATCATTTGGGAAAACAAGGTTTGCAAACCTGACCTAGACCAGCAGTGACTTCAGGCAGAAGGTCTCTCTGCGATGTCAAATTCTTATAAACCAGATTTATTGTGTTTCTCTTTGGAACATAAATACTTATTGTATCACTCATTAATGTTTAGTTTTAAAAAATGATGGCGTTTTATTATCTGAGCTCCTACATTGGCCTTGGAATGAATCATGATTTTTCCCCAGCTTGAAATACACATGTCTGCACAAATGTCAAGCTCATGTTATAAAATCCTGCAAGAGGTACCATAACTTTGACGATCTATTGTAAACTAGTTTAATTTGGAGATATCGGTCAGGTAACAGTTATAAATACGATTGTAATAACTTTTTTTTTAAAGAAACCTCACTATCGGGGGATTCTGAGAGCCTACAATTTAAGATAAATCAGTAGAAGTGGTTCTATTAATTTCACTTAGACCAGTGATTCTCAACCTGTGGGTTGTGACCCCTTTGGGGGTTGAATGACCCTTTCACAGGGGTTGCCTGATTCATAACAATAGCAAAATTACAGTGATGAAGTAGCAACGAAGATAATTTTATTGTTGGGGGGATCACAACAATATAAGGAACTGTATGAAAGGGTTGCGGCATAAGGAAGGTTGACTTAGGCAAATACTTGATTCATGTGTCATTAACATGCCAATTAGAAGATGACTCTCATCATTTTGGCATCATGCAGAAACAATTATTTTGGGGTCTACCAGCTTATGAAGCAGCTTAACAATGTTCTCTTTTGCAGTACATGAAAATGATGGGCGTGAACTCCTGCAGCCACTTTTTTGCCTGGGTTATAGAGAGTGTTGGATTCTTATTGGTGACCATCATCATTCTCATCGTTATACTCAAGTTTGGCAATATTCTTCCCAAAACAAATGGATTTATTTTGTTCCTGTATTTTTCGGACTACAGCTTTTCGGTCATTGCCATGAGCTATCTGATCAGTGTTTTCTTCAACAACACCAACATTGCGGCTCTCATTGGAAGCCTCATCTACATCATTGCCTTTTTCCCATTCATTGTTCTGATTACAGTGGAGAATGAGTTGAGCTACATAGTGAAAGTGTTCATGGTAAGTGAGTGAGTGGAACAGTCAATGTGCATGACGGATGGACCCTTTGTTTTGAGATCCTCAAACTAGAGCATCAGTTACCTGAATTTAACCATTCTGCGATAACATAATGAACCTAATCGACCTCACAATTATTTTTCCCCACAGTGCTGTGTGCTGCCAAAATATAAGGCCATGAAAAGGAAGCCTATATCATGTAGTTTACAAAAGACTAATATGTGATGCTGTTAAGAAATTGTTCCTTTAAAAAAAGTTAAAATATAATTTTTTGTATTGTAGAAAGATCGTGTTGTGGAGGTTGTTAAAAAAATCCAACTTTTTTCTTCTAATTCCTTAAACATTTTGAAGTCTCTATTCCTGGAATCATTGTTGTAAATGAATTGTTCTCATCGTTCTCCTAACACTCAATTTAAGTTGCAGATCCAAAGACAAATGCACTGGTAGCATCCAATCGAAGTTGAATTCTTTTTTGCCTCTGCAACTCAAAAATACTAAACTGACTTAAGAATGTTCACGACAGCACTAAAATGAGTGACTTTAAAATTTGGCAAATAGAAATAAAATTCATCCTTGGTTAAGAGATATTAAAACTTTGTTGTTTGTGAAAAGGGAAAGGAAAACTAGCTTTCATCTAGCACTTGTTCCTTAAGAATTATTCTGGCATCGATTACTTTGGACTTAAACAAAATTCACGTTTGTAATTTGTTATCATTTTAAATATTTGTTATTTCACATAAATGTTATTTTAGTATATGTTCACCCATAATACTTTTTCTTTAGTAGTGAAAAAAAATCTCCTCTGTCCCCTCAAGCTCTCAGTTAGATTTCAGTTTTAGCATTGCACTACTCTCTCAGGCTCTATGCTATAAATTGCAGAGTGGCATTTGATGAGTTTATATGTGTTTTGGAGTTTTGACAAATACTTTCAAGGTTACAATTATCCTGCTTTTGTGTTTGGCAAGTTTTTACCTCTGCTCCCTGTCCTCTCTCAGAGCTGCAGCATGTTCTGTCCGCAACCTCTATATTTTGAACTATTCTAGGCAGAGAGTGTCGATTTTACTACACAAGGGCCCAAAGTCTTAAGTGTTTTAAAAATCCCTTTAATATGAAAGACACGCAGTCGACAAGAGATCTATTGTTTTCGCAGAGCCTGCTTTCCCCAACAGCATTCAGTTATGCAAGCCAGTACATCGCCCGGTACGAGGAACAGGGGGTCGGTAGGTTCACTTTACACTGGATTTGCATCTTTTGCAGTTGCCCTGCCTCACACAAGAGAAGACATATTTGTGCTCCCTTTTCAGGTCTCCAGTGGGATAATATGTACAGTTCCCCAGTTCAGGACGACACCACCTCGTTTGGCTGGTTGTGCTGCCTCATCCTCGCTGACTCTTTCATGTATTTCCTTATTGCTTGGTACGTCAGGAATGTGTTCCCAGGTACGAGCATGCTTTCTACAGATACCTACTTTCTATGGCTGTCATTACGTAAGGGGGACCCTTCTGGGGAATAGCTGATTCGGCGGTCAAATTCTCACCTTCCACGAGGGAGATGGGTTCGATTCCTGGCCCATGGATGTTATTCAGGTTGTCACCCAAGTGCCACTGGAGTCTTGCATGTTGCTATGGTGCTGAACAGGCCGCAGGGGAGCTTCTTGACTAGACTGAGATGGATTAGGATGAAAGGCGTAAGGATTTACTTCTGAACATGGACAAAGGAAAATCCACAGGAATGGCACCCATCATGCTGGGGGCCCATGAGTTAACGGTTGACTTCATAAACAGCTAACAACCACAGCAGGTGTTACAAACAGGATAATGTATGTTTCCTAATATGTGATTTCCAATGTATACGAGCTCAAAAAAGAAACACTTGAATCTGAAAGCTAGCCAAGTTTCCAAGAATGGGATCATGGCTGTGGAATAGTTTGGGGGGAAGTTCTTTAAAAGTAGACTCTCTGATAGTTCTTTTAAAAGTGGATTAAGTAAGTTAGGAAACACTGAATGACATCACATCCATCCAGTGTTTCCAAATGGGAATGTGAGGTGTTAGAAGGTGAAGACACACTTGTCTTCATAATAAACTATATCAACAAGTCTCCTAATTTGAAGGAGAATTGACAAGATTCTGAGGAAAGAACACAGGTTATGTTCCCCTGTTGGGTCTCAAGGGACCATCTCCTTTTACATGTTTATGTGATTTCCCATGAAGCTTTATAATATATTTACAGTTTTTTATGCTATGAGTGAATAAAATGTATTTCATTCATATGACATTTGTTTGTCAAAGACAAATACATAGATACAGAAAGCACGTCAGTGATTGGGCTTTGAGGTGGGAGCAGATATCTGAAAATGGGCATGAGAAAACTCTTGGGGAAAATAGAGATATTCTTAAACCTGATTGTATGTATTTTGTTTTTTTAAAACAAATTTATTAAAAATCATCTATTCATGCATTTACAGTAGATAAGCTTTATGGTATGTATTTATACCTTAATATATCTGTATTTTTAAAGTGTAAAAGAAAGTCTACCTTTTTTTACTTTACCTTAGGAAACAAAAACCATTGGTCAGTTTTATATGAATATCAAAAAGCCAAAAACACTTGCTGGATCAAACATACAACTATAGTATGGTTTATGGTTTATATTATGATGCTCAATATTAACAATCCATTTTCTTAATATACTTCTATTACAGGGACTTATGGTATGGCTGTTCCCTGGTATTTTCCAATCCTTCCTTCCTACTGGAAGGAGCGATTTGGGTGTTCAGAGGTGAAGGACGAGAAAAGCAATGGCCTTGTGTTTACTAATATCATGATGCAAAATACCAACCCATCTGCCAGTAAGACAAGTAGGTCAACAACAGGCATGATTATGAGAGAAGTGATATAAAAATTACATGATGAGTGATTGCAATTAAATTCTTCTAATTGTCAAAACTATCATCCTTTTAGTCATGGATGGATATGTCTACACATATGTGTTTAGCTTCTTACAGGGATTAAATTGTGGTTTTTTCTGGGCTCATTAGCTCAGTTGGTTAGCATATGGTACTAATTAGGCCAAGAGTGCAGATCCATTTGTGGTTCAGCTGGACTCACACAGTGAATAATTTTTTTCCTCGGCCACTGTCTGTACCTCTCATTCCAGCCATCTGTCATCCATCACAAGGAGTAACCAAGTAACAAGTATGGCTAATTTAGCATAATCTATTACCAAGACTGGAAAAGAAAATAACTGAAAGCCGTTGTCTTGCTGACATTAGGTGAATAGAATCATCTTTATAAAGTTAGCATAGCCCATCTGAGTGGGCCTTTTGTGAGGGCTAAAGGATATCTTAGCAATAATTAATACACTAGAGTCCACAAACCATAGAGGTAGCTTTGTCACTGTCAAATCTCACATTGTAGACATTTTCTTCCTAAATTGGGATTATCCTGTCCCAATGGAAGACCATGCCTTAGACTTTGACTTTGAATGTGTGAGCTCTGTGGAATAAAGGAAAATTCGTGATTGTGGCACTGTGCTCTGGGGCTCCTTTTTCCGGCAGCCAAGGGTGATGTAAGCCTTAGAGAACATGCTTCCCTGACTCTTATTTATTCAGTAATTTATCTCTGAAAATATTTACTTCGAATATTTTGTTAGCCTTGAATTAAAGAAAAGTATGACAGTGTTGAATTTCATCCATTTGTGAACTTACAACTGGTCTCCTGATTTCTCTCCAGGTCCTGAATACATGTTTCCTTCCAATATTGAACCTGAACCAAAAGATCTCACAGTTGGGGTTGCCCTGCACGGGGTGACAAAGATCTATGGCTCAAAAGTGGCCGTTGACAACCTTAATCTGAACTTTTATGAGGGGCATATTACCTCCTTGCTGGGGCCCAATGGAGCTGGGAAAACAACCACCATGTATGTGACTTTCTGATCCTTCTTGTAATAGATACCTACTACTTAATATGTTCTTATCTCTTTTTATGAAACATGATTTTATTGCCTGCTAGTAAGATGATTCCACCCACTGCCATTGAATGCATGCCAACTCATAGCCACTGCCCCTGTGAGGGTCTGGATCTGTAAGTCTTCACAGTCTTCCTCCTGTGGAGCAGCGGTGGTTTCAAACTGCTGACCTTGCAGATCATTGTCCAATGCTTAACCACTACACCACCAGGGCTCCTTCGGTCTACATCAGAAGTCCCCAACTATGAGCCCAATGGCCAGCAGATGGCTTTCACTTAATCCTCCTGGTGCTGGCCCATTTTAAGATTTCTACTTCTGTGCCAACATTTTTTTAATATAAATAATTTATTGGCAGCTCTTATAGCTCTTATAACAATCCATACATCAGTTGTATCAAGCACATTTGTACATATGTTGCCACCATCATTTTCAAGACATTTTCTTTCAACTTGAGCGCTGGGTATCAGCTCCTCTTTGTCTCGTCCTTCCCCATGAGTCAATATTTTAAAATGGGATGTTTTCTAATAAATGTTTGTGGCCTCACAAAATAATAGTCTGTTCTGACAACATTGATATAGCCCAGTGGTTGAAGCTTACTAGTGACGGTTTTCTCACATGGGACATCTGATTCCTGGTTCATCACAAGTGTCCACCAGTCTGTACCACCTCATACACCCTCTTGGCTTCATTTATTTGCATTTTTATCCTGGCCAATGTGTACATTTGATTTTGCACTCCTCGGTATAAGCTCAACCATGGCTGTTTCATCACAGGAAGCTCTTGCCTTGATTCCAAGCGAAGCAAAAGAATCACTAGCTGTCAGTCATAGAACAAAAAGGGCAAAGAGAGGTGCATGGCTTGCTCTCCTCTTTCCTTGTGTAACCAGCATTTTCCTGGGTCAGGATGAAGAAGGGATTCCAATGTGTTGAAGGCCACATTCTTCTCAAGGTTGTGTGATTCTCCTCCAATGCTACACCTCAGCTTAGTTGCTGAGTCAGCTCTAAGAGTCGGTTGGTGCTCTAACCTTTATTTGAGAAAGAGAGAGAGAGAGAGAGAGAGAGAGAAGCCAGGTGCTGCATGTCCTACTTAGTATCATCACGAGGAAGCTCAGTGACTGCCAAGATGTATTCAAATTAATTTTTTTAATTTTTAAATTAAAGAGACAAAGTAAGGTCATGAAATGAGTGAACAGGCAGCCCTCTCATTTACATGACCTATTCACACATAGCATTGACTTTCTAGGGAGAATTAGTGTTACAAGGCAAAATTTAAAAATGTTTTAAAAGAAAATGAGAGGACACAAAAGGGCTAAGAAAGGCTTTTGAAAAGTTTTGATTTTTGGCTTTTAGAGAAAGCACCCCTTGAATATTCTGCATATAAACATTTAATATTAGAAAGTTAAATACACCATTTTTATTGCCATACCTTTTTAATGGGAAGGTTTGAATGTTGTATTGATTCCTATTAATCCTTAAGAGTTTTCTGAAGGCCTAGTATGTGCAAAAAGATCCCTGGTGATGTAGTGGGTTACACATTGGGCTGTTAAGTGCAAGTTCAGCAGTCAGAAACCTCTAGCCATTCAGAGGGAGAAAATGAGACCTTCTTCTCCTTTGAAGAGTTACATTCTTAGACCACTGGGGCAGTTCTGTTCTATAAGGTCTCTATAAGTCAGAATGGCAGTGACTCTTGAGTACGTGCAAGGCACTGAGGGAGGCTCTGAGACAGAACAGTGAGAAAATGAATCCTCTCTATACTTGTGGAGCTTACTTGGTAGTAGGGGGATGGGTATTCAATAATCTCCAGCTTCTAACAGTCTGAAAGACAGAGAATTATCTCGGGAGATCACGCTGGCAACCATGTGTAGAAGGGACTGGAGATGACAGGAAACCTAAGGGAGAAGTTAAGCTAAGAGCCTAGAGCAGGGGGTCAGCATGTGGGGATGGAGTTTGGACTATGGTGGAGGCTGTGAACATGGAGAGAGAGATGGACTGGAATCGGGAGACTAACTAGGGGAAGGTCCAAAAATGACTCCTAAATTCCAAATCTGCATAACCTGTATATGGATTTATCGTAAACTGAAATGGGTAAGACTTCACTACGGATGCAGAATTGAAAGCCAAGTTCATGAGTGTAAAACATATTGAGTTTGAGGGTTCTCAGTCATCTAGAGGGGACAGAGAATTCCAGCAAGGCTGTAATGAAATGATGAGGTCCGGGGCTTGGCAGGCTATCAGTGGTATCTAGGTGCAAGGAAGGGTGTGAACTTGCTGTAGAAAAGTGTAATTGCCATTATAAAGCCCAACCCTCTCTACCATTATTCCCACCACTACCACCATCACCTCCATCTTAATTACTATCATTTTTAGTGCTTAGGTGACTCTACATTATTGCAGTTCAAAAGTCATTTTATTTATTCCTGTTTAATATCATTTCATTTCATGACTTGAGATATGCTGTAACAATGTTTACTAGCAACTAAAATTTCCTGAGTTTCGTTGGCCCTAAAACCTAGCCCCTATGTACATGGATAACACTTCATTTTGTTTTGCTTTTTCCCAGTTCCATGTTGACTGGGCTGTTTGGCACCTCAGCAGGTACCATCTTTGTGTATGGAAAAGACATTAAAACAGACCTCAACACTGTGCGAAAGAACATGGGTGTCTGCATGCAGCATGACGTCTTGTTCAGCTACCTCACGACAAAGGAGCACCTGCTCCTCTACGGCTCCATCAAAGTTCCCCATTGGACTAACAAGCAGCTGCACGAAGAAGTGAAGAGGTGAGTGGTGGTGGTAACAAGAACAGAAGGTGGGAAATCCTCTTTAAAGCCTATAGCTTGATTTGCCATGCTAGAGAAATAAGAGAAGTCGGACATCTTTTCTCATAAGATGGCCACTTTTTCCTTGGTCTGCTTGGCTGGTATTCTAGCGTGTGAAGGTCCTTCTCCTTACCAGTCAGTTCTTCTACATGAAAACCACTTCAGTCTCTTCATCATCTGTGGTACCATAGGGCCCCAGATGATCTGTTTCTAATTTCTCCGCCAATTGTCATGGTCCAAGCCTCCTTACTAGACTTCTATTCTTTTCTGTTCTTCAAAGAGAGGCAAGGGTAATTCTCTGAAACTGCAGATGAGACCATATAACTCCCAGGTTCAAAACATTCTAATGGCTTTCTTCCACAAATAGTGGGACATTCGTAAAGTCCTTCATAAGACCTATAAAGCCCTCCTTGATTTACCCTTCAGTCCCCTTCCTGGTATCATTTCATTCTGTCCTTGCCCTCATTCTCTCCACTCCACACACACGCTCTAAGTGCTATACCTTCACGGTGTTAGCCTTGTTCCAGCCGCCCGGCTTTTCTCCTCCTCCAGTTTTTAGGCTTCTGTTCAGCTCACACTTGCTCCAAAATGGCACCGTAGTGATCAAGGGAGGTCTAAAATCACATGATTTGGGCTCATGTCACCATTCATTCTAGAGAATATCTATTGCCTCCCTGGCACATGATAAACTGACATGGAAATATGTTTATTGACTAAGATTTCCCTACACTGCCCCCTGCCCATATACCACATACTAAAATATAATCTCCTGTGATGAGAAACACTATCTGCCCCCCACCCTTTTTTTTTTACTTTAGTACCGAGAGCAGAGCCTGGTGCACAGCACCCAGGTCCTGTACAAGTGTTTGTCAGATGAATGAATAAAATAATGATACTTATCCTCTCTCTTGTTGGCTTCTGAGTATTGATCTTGTCCTTCTGACTACACAGAAAGCTATAAATGCACAAATCACCAGTAACTCTTTGAACCTTTCTGACCATGTTATAGTTGCTTAGTGAATACCTATTGTTGGGGGGTGCTTATGTTTCCTGTATTCAAATATTCTAGCTATGAATGACAAACTCCATATATATTTTTTGGCAGGACTTTAAAGGATACTGGCCTGTACAGCCACCGTCATAAGAGAGTCGGGACGTTGTCGGGAGGAATGAAGAGGAAGTTATCCATATCCATAGCTCTGATTGGTGGATCAAGGGTGGTTATTTTGGATGAGCCATCGACTGGAGTTGATCCATGTTCTCGTCGAAGTATATGGGACGTTATCTCTAAGAACAAAACTGGTATGCGTACTCCCTACAGCATGTGTGCTCCACAGTAGATGCTGTTCATCAGCCAGCCCAGTGCTACAGGATAGTGATCTTTATCTAAGGCAAAGAAGTCTTTAAATGCCCCGGATTGACTGTCCTCGCCACGTCTTGCCTCGTGTAACCTTATGGGTCAGTAAGTTAGGGTCTCTCCAGTGCACTTGGTGATTAAGCACTTCCCAGGCCTCTGTAGATAGCTGGCAAATGTAAAAAAAGTAAAAGTTTCGAATTCTACCTCGAGTTGCCGAGAATCTAATTAGCAACACCAAACACACACAAAGGCAAATAAACCGAAAACAGACTAAATAAGTGCTCACAGGATGTGAAGTAAAGGCGCAATCAGAGTGGAGTGGATTAATCAGAGAGGAATATTCAAGAAGCTTTTTTAAATTGTGGCTTTTTTATAGTAAGGAAGGAGAAGGGGAGGAAAAGAAACGGGGCAAAAGGCGGGAGGGCAGGCAAAATTCTGGCAGACTGCTAAGAGTTGCCCACGTCCAGACGACGACCGCAATGCTGGACACCCCAGCCAGCAGCGGAGTAAGTAGGCACCCGCCGTCCGCCTGTATCCGAACAGCTCCTGAAGGCTGGAGACAGCCCTTCTGCGTTCCTGGGTGATCATTTCGGAGACACAGCTGCTCCGCTGGCTTTCAGTTAGCGCATGAAGCATGGCTCTTCTCCAGCGATATGGCACGGCACGCTTGTTGCTGTTGTTTTTAGTTGTCATAGAATTGCGTATAACACAACGTTTGCCAATTCACTGTTTTTCATGGGCGCAATGTCATGATCCCGATTACATTGAGCATGTTGTGCAGCCCTCGTTCATCATCTGGGCCCAGTGTCCCATCACCACCAAGACAAACTCAGGGCTTCCTCCGCAGGGCCCCTTCCTTTCCCCTGCCTTCCTCCTCCGGGGAACCACTCCTCCAACTTGGTGCCAGGATACGCGTGTGCTAATTGATAGATCTCTGGAACCTGAGCTTCGTTTTTCACACTTGGCTGTTTCTGTTTGGGTTTTTTAAGCCAGAACCATCATTCTGTCCACACACCACTTGGATGAGGCCGAAGTGCTGAGCGACCGCATCGCCTTCCTAGAGCACGGCGGGCTCCGGTGCTGTGGGTCACCGTTCTACCTCAAGGAAGTCTTTGGGGATGGATACCACCTCATCCTCACCAAGAAAAAGGTGTGCGGAAGACAAAGTATACCTCACAAGCTTATAATAAGTCAATTTTTAAATTTAGAACTGAGGTAATGTTTCCCCCAACCGAGAGTTGAAATTCATGACTATGCTAGATTACTGATTGTCTACCTTGAACAAGCATAAGAGGAATCTGAGTGCTTATTAAAATGGAAACGATGGAGCCCACCCCCAGATTTTTTGCTCCACTGGACCTGGGGCGAGGCCCCAGAACTTGCGTGTCTACCACTCTCCTGGATGGTAACGCTGGTCTGAGGCTCCAGGCTGAGAACTCTCTACCAGATACACTGGCATCCCCACAGCCTGAGGTAGAGAATCGGCCTTTGAGCCTCTACCGCATTTCTGTGATGAGGCTAAACATTGGATGTCCTAGTTTGTCAAAAGCAAATGATGAGAACGTGGATTTATATAGTCACTTTTTGCTCGGTCTTCCTCAAATGGCAGTGGGGAGACTAACCTGGCCATGTCAACAATGCCTTCCATCTTTTGAAGGAGAAAACTGCCAGGGGAGGCCCCCTGTGCTACCTCATGTAGCCTATGATTTCATGTTAGGATGTAAGATGTATGTACTGTGAAACGGAGTCCGACTACTACTATTTATTTTATAACTGATCAGCCTGATATGACTTCCAAAATATAAAAGCTGGTCCATCGTTATGTTCATTAATTAATTCTTATTGGATGTGGATTCATTAATACCTATTAGGTATTTACTAAGCCTTAATATATTCCAAGCGCTTTTATAGGCACTGGGGGGTCCAGCAGTGATTGATGGTATTAGATCTCTGCCCTAACATGTAATTTTTAAACTGTGGTCTGAACTGTCCAACTAGAATTCTTGAACTCTCATATGCAGATGCCTAAACGCTAGTGAAGAAATCAATATGGAAATTGCTTATGTTATTAAAACCCCCCGGTCGGGTGTTGATTCTGGATATTAGAAAACAACTTCCCACAAGTGAATCCTGATTCCTGGCAACTCCATTGAGTGTCCAGGGTGAATCATGCTCCATGGGACTTTCAGTGGCTGATTTTTTCAGTGGCTGATCACAAAGCTTTTCTCTTAACGTACCTCTGGGTAGATAGACTCAAATCAACTTTTTGGTTACCCACTGAGCTTGTTAATAACTTGCACCACTCAGGGACTTCATTGACTATTAATAGGTCGCCATTGCTATGGGTAGAAATAAGTCAGGGGAAGAGGAATAGGGGATTCTGGGCAATGTCAGGTTAAGTAGAGCCGCAAGAAAGGTGTGTCTGAATAAGTGATAGTGAAGCTAAGACTTGGAGCAGGTGAGGGAATAGGCACGTTGATATCTGTAGGCACAGACACAAGAGAGGCAACGGCTGGGCATTTGGATTACTCTAGCAGCAGACAAGGGACCAGTGGTACTAGAGTAAAGCAAGTGAGAGGAACGGTGGGAATCAATGAAGTCAGAGAAAGGCAAGGTAGGTGAGAGAATGGAGCTGGCAGCTGAGTGACTTGTAGACAGTAGTCATGTTTCTGAGTGGAGGAGTGAGGCGTGGTCAGGCTTAGGTTCAATGTGGCCTAAAGAACTCAGCAGCCTCTTATTCTAGCCCTTAGCCACTGAAGCACCAGAAGAGGCTGTTGCTTAACTTCTGTTTTGATCCCTAGAGTCCAAATCTATGTTCGAGTGCAATATGTGATACAGTGGCCGTGACAACGATGATCCGATCACACCTCCCTGACGCCTATCTCAAAGAAGATGTCGGAGGAGAACTCGTCTATGTGCTTCCTCCATTTAACACCAAAGTCTCAGGAGCCTATCTGTCACTGCTAAGAGCACTGGACAATGGCATGAGTGACCTCAACATCGGCTGCTATGGCATTTCAGATACCACCGTGGAAGAAGTGAGCCTGAACTTTGTTCTTCCTTTAAAGTAGACATAGTTTTCTTTTCTCTTACAAGAGAAAAAAGACTCTTTGTACTTCAAATATACATACATATACATATATATGTATATATAATGTTTAAAGAAACACTTCACAAACAGAAGAACTTAAAGTTATTTCAATGCCACCCTTGCATGAGACTGACTTCTGAGAACAAGTGGGTTGCCCCTGTATGAGAGGACGTTTCTTTTTACAGACCAAAATATTCACAGAGCATCAGATGGGGACTAGATGAATAATAGTTATTCATTTATTCGTTTATACATATGTCTTTCTTTCCATTTACCCAAATCAAATTTGAGCTGAAAAATTGGAAACAGACTTCTACTTCTTTATGTGAATGACGTGATCTGGGTTCTCTTTCTAGGTCTTCCTGAACTTGACGAAAGAGTCCCAGAAGAATAGTGATATGAGACTGGAGCACTTAACACAAAGTAAACTGGGCAGTTCCAGAGCCAACGGCATCTCAACGCCCGATGATTTGTCAGTGAGCAGCAGTAATTTCACCGACAGAGACGGTATAAGTCCAATGTGAATGTTTTGCTTAATTCCAGCGAATGTTATAAATGTGGAGATCTCAGGACAGATTTTTATTTCATGTTTTGATTTACCTTTAAATGCCCTTTCTTCATTCAAAAAGACTAAGGAAATGTAAGACTTCCAACCTATCTGATGCCATCAAGGTGAAGTTGATTCATGGCAATCCACTGTGTCATTACAGCATACACATTGTCAAATCAAATTCTCTTTTTCAAAATGCATCGGATGTGGAAGGACATCTTTGATAGGCCCATGATGACTATTCTTCCTACCCACCAGAAATTCTGTTCAAGATGTAACACACGACAGCTTCATATTTGCACTCAATAAGTTAATATCCTCCTTGCGGCAAATGTTAGCTTGTAAATTAGTTCACTCCTATTATTAGACTTGTTCAAGTAAAGGCAAGGGTCACAAAGAGTAAAAATGTCAAATAGGAAAATGTCTAATTTCCTCTGATTCTGTACCTATCAAGTACTGGAAAAATCAAGGGCTGACAAAATACTTAAATCCAGGGAGATTTCTCTGAATGGAAGAAGCAACCCATTAGGTCTAGAAACTGAGACTAGGTTTTTCTTTCTCCCCTTCCAATTCTTCATACCAGACATGTTTTAAAAATCATATTTCCTGACACAATTTTGGAAGGTTGGAATCTTTTGGAAATAGCTTCTATTATTTCTCATATCTTTTCTGACAGCTAATTCATATTTTGAGCAACACTATTTGTTTAAAGAAACACATTGCAAACTGATATATAAATTATGGAGTAGTCATCTTAACAGTTTGCTTATACTGGGAAAATTTTTCCAGGAAAATAATTTAATTAAACATTTCCTTGGATCTAAAACTGAAAAAAATCCAAAGTAATAATCCCTGACTATTATGGAGGCTGATTTGCTGTCAGTCATATTCTTCCTTTGTAATCTCTTGGGGAATATAGTTATATAGTTGTAGAGTCCGTGGACTCAAGGGCATTGATCAAAATAAGATCATCTACCAGGGGAAGTAAATGTTATGTATTTGCCTCTGCATTTGTCTCATAGTTTGAAACTATTATTCAGTCAAAATGTTCCTCTCATTGACATTATCTTTTAGAAAGCACAGTTACTCCATTTGATACACCTGTAAGTCATCCACATGTCATTTCTCCAGAAACAGAAAAGCATACTAATTAACTTAAAATATTCAGCTCCTTCCACAATTCCCCTTTGCAGAGATATGAGTTTGCATTTAAACTTGTTCACTCAGTTTAATTGGAATTCATTTTAAATTAAGCGGCTTTGTATTTTCCCTTATCAGCTAAATGAAGATCATGATTTTTGTGCTGCATAATTTGTGATGGAGAATTTAAAATATACACAGAGTTGACGACTACTGTCATCTTATCACACGTGGAGTGCTTGGCAGTAGGCCTTAGGAGAGAATGTTACATTTGAGCCTTTTTTTAGAGGAGACTGGTGAAAGTCTTCATTGCTGGGCGCTCTATTGAGGAAGCAACCACTTACGGCCTCGACAGCTGTTCTTACTCTCAGAAACCAGGACATTTTTCTCAGCACCTGAAGAGCATTTCAAAGGGGGAGAGGGTGGACATGGAGACGTTCTGTCATGTAGGCAGGTGACTTCTTTCTGTGCCCCTAGTAGAGTCAGTGCTGGATTGCTAGATGCAAGTTGATGGTTCAAACCCACCAGCTGCTCTGCTGAAGAAAGATGAGGCTATTTGTTTTTCTAAAGATTTACAGCCTTTCGGAAACTTTATGTTAGGGTTGCCATGAATCAGAATCAAGCCAATGGCAATGGGCGTTTGGTTTGTTTAGTAAGGGTCACTTGGTGGCACAAATGATTAAACACCCAACTACTTACAAAAAAAAGAAAAGAGAGAATTCAAATTCACCCAGACGTACCTCAGAAAAAAATTCCTGGTGATGTGTTTCCAAATGGCCACAGTCACAAAATCCCGGTGGAGTGCAGTTCTATTCTGGAGCTCGTGCCGTTGCCACGAGTCAGAATTGATGCAAGCGCAAATGGCGCAAGTAAAGCTGGTGAGCTGAAACACGGTGCGATCATTCCTAATGTCTAGAGAATCTAGTGAGCAAGTACCTGAGCTAGAATTTTACTTTGGAGGAGAGGAAATTGTCTCTTCCTTTATGGAGAGTAAATTCATTGGACCTTGTGTTAGAATCAGCACCAAAGAGATACACAAATATCATCCCTGAGGTCGCCACAATCAGAACCCGTTCTTAGACTAGCCTGGAGCTTTGGTTTCTACTTGACAGAGTTCTTACTCTTTACTTTAAGGGAAAGCTTGAAAGCTCTCTCAACTTTTTATAATTAGCAAGACATACTGAGCTTACATGGACTCTTTGGAGTGCAGAGACGATATTCACGTGTGCATTTCTAGGTAGCTGACTCAAATGTCGCATCACGATACAAAGGACTAAAGTATCTCTGGGATTTTGTTTGGCGCTTTTTGAGGCACTTTTGCACAGATTCCTATGAGAGACACATGTTGGCCTTCAGTTTTCTCCAGTGGAGAAACTAGACTCAGGCTCAAGGCTGATATGTGGGGGGAAAAAAGAACCTTAAATCCAAATCTTCAAAATACAAGCCTTTCCCATCACCACACAGTGTAATGACCATCATAGTTTTTGAAGTTACCTTGGTTTATCAACATTTGTTTTTATTTAATCATTTTATTGGGGCTCATACAATTCATCACAATACATAGATCAAGTGTGTAAAGCACATCTATACATTTGTTGCCCTCATTATTCCCAAAATTCGCTTTCCTCTTGGGTTCCCGGAATCAGCTCATTTTCCTTCCCCCATGAACCCTTAATAATTTATAAATTATTATTATATCTTATCTTACACTGCCTGGCGTCTCCCTTCACCCCCCCTCTGCTACCCATCCCCCAGACAGGAGGTTATATGTAGCTCCCTGTGATCAGTTCCCCCTTTCTACTCACCCACCTTCCCTCCTGGTATCACCACTGTCACCCCTGGTCCTGAGGGGTTCATCTGTCCTAGATTCCCTGTGTTTCCAGTTCCCATCTGTACCGCTGTGCATCCTCTGGTCGAACCAGGTTTGCAAGGCAGAATTGGGGTCCTGGTAGTTGGGGGGAGGAGTCAACATCTTTCAGAACAGTATCGAGTCTCGTCTCTTCAACAGACAAAATCCTGACCAGAGGAGAGCGACTGAGCGGGTTTGGATTGTTACTGAAGAAGATAATGGCTATCCTCATCAAGCGGTTCCACCACACCCGCAGGAACTGGAAAGGCCTCATTGCCCAGGTCGTCCTCCCCATCGTCTTCGTAACCACGGCCATGGGCCTGGGGACCCTGAGAGATTCCAGCAACAGCTACCCCGAGATCCAGCTCTCCCCATCTCTGTACGGGACCGCTGACCAGACATCCTTCTACGCGTACGTTTCTTCCGTTTTAAAAGGAAATTCCCCAATGTTCCCGTAGATGTGCCATGGAATGCGGAAGAATAAAAAAAATTAGGAGTTCCGTGATCTGATTGTGGCAAAGGAATGGGCACTTTGATTCACTGCAATATGATGTTGTTGTTTTTTAAAACCAACAAATGGCTTTCAGGAAGTTTTTGTTTGGAGGTACTTGGATCGTGTGGATGGTCTGCCCTTGATTGGTAACCAAATGGTTGGCAGTTGGCAGTTTAAACCCGCCCGATGGCACGGTGGAAGGACCAGGCGTAGTGATTGACTTCCATGAAGATTATACGCAGCCCAGCCCTGGGGGGGTGGGGGGGTGGAGTCCTCCAAATTAACACATCCACCAAAAAGCAAAACAAGTACTTCCACAAGAGTTTTTGTTTGTCTAAAAAAGACGTTTTAATAGGTATTTATTTTTATTGACTAGGCATTATTTGTGTTAGGGTGTGAGTTTCCAACTGGTTGTGATATAGGGTATATGGATTATTTTGTCTATCCCACATTATTGTTGAATAGTAATGTCAACCTTCTGTAGAATATAAATTTAAATACACCATGGATGAACCCTACATGCCTATGGCCATTAGAATAGCAAGGCAGCCAAAAAGAGCTACCGTATATACATATTTCCCTGGGGACTATTTTACCAAGACAGTTAGTGTTAGATTTTAAAGAAAATGGTCCTGTAGGCACCATGTTTTATTTCTTCAAATTATTTGTGAACATGTGTTTAATATGGAAAACGAGTAGAATAATTGTGAATTTGATTTTCTCTTTTTTATATTGCAGTAATTTTCACAAATCGACAAAGCCGCTGGTCTCAGCTATGTGGACCTACCCTGGCATTGACAACCTATGTCTGAACACTAGTGATCCGTAAGTGGTTCATGCTTCCTTCTGTTCTGTTTCAAGATCACAGTTTGGATATGAATGTATGCATGCATGCATGCATGCATGCATCTGAGGGAGTGCATGGAGGAGGACAAGACTCTAATATCAATCTATGTTGAATAGATTTCCCATTTAACCCATCCCATGCCTGTGCTATCCTGGAGTAATATAAGAATAAACATTAGATACTTTATAATTTGTATAGCTCTTTTGTATACATAGTTTTTTTTAATGATCACAGCAACCCTTTGAATTATCCATCCCATTTTACAGAGAAAGAAACATAATCTAATGGGGACTAAGATACTTGTTGAAAGGATTCTAGATCGTATATTATATAGCTAATGCTGAGACCCATGATTTTGCACTTCAAGGTGCTGCCTATTCAAACTACCCAGACAACACATACATAGCTTACAATACCCTGTCACTAGTGTGTTATTATACTAAGAGATCACCTTCTCCTCAGCAGTGAGGATGGAAAGAACAAAGAGAAAAGGAGACATAAAGTCCTATCCTGTCACACTAAGATAATTCAATGAGTTTTGGTCTTAACACTCTAATCAGTGAGTGCTCTCCCTCAATCATCCACTGCAACCTATGAAATTACTTGAAAATAGTAGTGTAATATATAGAGACCATTAATGAAAAGTCAGTAAAATCATAGCAGGACTACACACCTGCATTTAATACCAAGTATTTGCTTATATGCTCATATATAAACATATGAACACACACACACACACACACACACACACCTCATGTCAATTTCTATTTTTATTTGCAGAAGATGTTTAAAGAAAGACAGCCTTGGAAAATGGGACATCAGCAGAGAACCTAACATCGATTTTAGTGTCTGCACGTGCTCAGAAAAAATTCAGGTATGATGGAATTAAGTTTCAAAATGCAGGAAAAAGAAAGAAACATTGAAATCTGAAAGATCTGCCAAGGATACCTAAGACTCGGTATGAGTTCACCTTACGGAAGTGCGTAGCTCAGAAATGTGAACATGAGTAGTTAAAAAATATTGACTTTGAACGTCAGGTCACTGTTTTAAATCTATTTCTGGATAAATTTCCAAAGGTGGGCAATTCTACCTGTGTAGAAACCAACTGAAAATTAATTTTCGAATTCAGTTCTAACTAGAAAGCGACATGTTTTGCACAGCAAAAGGCCACCAGAAATATGTGAAAGTGCAATGTGGCTGGCACAGTGGTGGTCAGCTGGAGGCAGTAACAGGTAGGTCTAGAACAGACACCTTATGTCTAAGCTATAGTTCCAAGCTGCAAGAAAAATCCATTTTCTGCAAGAATTATAAAAGATTAGTCAGCCATCCCATTCCTTGTATTCTATAGATACACAGTCTGCTTTCCTAGGCTCGTTAACTCACCAAACTTGGAAGCGGACCAAATTCACAGAAGAAAGATTGTTGAAGGGAAGTCACTACTGTTTTTGAGCGTCATGATATTATTAGAAGAGGAATTTAGCAATATTTTTCTCAAAGTGACATATGATGGTACCCTGAACTGTCTTGGTATAATATCTTGGAATGAAAATATTTTCAGTGAATACAACCCATTTTGGTGTTCTCTTGTGAGATGGTGACTTTGAATAAGAGCTGGGATTTAACAAGAACATTTTTTAACCCTTGCACTTTTAAAATGTTGTTATACCTCATCTCTGGACAGGAGCCTTGGTGGCATCATAGGTTACCCATCGGGCTGCTAGAGACATACACTCTATGTGTTACTTATAGGACCCCCAAACTGGAATTACCCAAATGCCCACCAACAGTAGAATGGATCAGTCAATGGTGCCTATACCAGCAAGAGTACCATACAACAAATGAAGCCAAACCTTGTCTTGAGGTTTTCACAAGCATAATGATGAGTGAAAAACAGCCAGACAGATGGGAGTACATACTATATGATTCAACATATATAACACCGAAGCATGCAAAAGTCATTTCTGCTGGTTCCGTTGGTGGTCATACTACAGGAAGGAAATGTGACTGGGAGGACCTTTGAGATACTAGTGTTGTTCTCTATTCTGGCCCAGCTGCTGGTTACGTGGATATGCTCGATTGGTCAGCATCATCAACCAGTCCACTTACCACATATGTGCTTTGCGAATACATGCTATAATGCAAAGAAAAGTAAAGCAGAAATAACCACACTACACACATAGGAATACTTTCACTTAATTATGGTATTAACGCAACTACAGAGATATTAGGCAAAGCCCAGCGTTTTGTTTTGTTTTGTTTGTGAACAAGCTACAACTTTATGCTTGTGGGACACCCGTGTGGTGCGAGCCACAGGCTCTGGCACTCGGTGTGAAGAGTGAGATAGAAGAGCAGGAAACGTGTTAGCTTTTCCCAACCAAGTGCCATGCCAGTACAGCATGAGGAGCCACACTGAAAAGCAAGTAATCAGGAAGTACAGAAAGAGAAGCGTGTAAAATAGGTAGTTAAAACTCAGCTGAGTTTGGTTAATAATAATGGACCAATGTTCCAGGTTCTCACCAATGTAGAATGACAAAGTCAAATCTTACCATTGGAGGAAACTGTGTGAAGGATATGCAGGAACTCGCTGTACCGTCGTTGTCATTTGTCTGTAGATTAAAGAGTGTTTTAATATAAGAAGATGACCGGTAGACATCCCTGGAGGAGCTCTGGCGGCGCTGGGTGGATTATGCGGTGGGCTGCTACCTGCAGTGTGGGCCGTTCAGAGTCAGCTCCTCTGGGAGAGCAAGATGAGGCTGTCTCCTTCCAGAAAGTGGATCACTGCAGATGTAATTAGGTTGAGATCTAACGCCTGCTCATTTGATCCCCTTTTTGTCTCCTTTTTAAAGTTGTTCTAGCTTTTAATATTTTCTATTTTCTTTTCAGCTGGGGTTTTTCTCTATTTTATATTGTTATTACTGCTAGCTTTTGGACTCTGTTTTTATCTGTCTTTCTATAGATGAAATCCAGGATGGGTGAATCTCTGGAGACAGTAACTGGGTTCCTGGCCCTTGGGGGTCTGGCCAGGGAGGTTGGGGGGTGGGGGAGGGGGAGCTAATAACAAGGAGTTCAAGAGAGAAGAAAATGTTCTAAAGTTATTGTAGTAATGATTGTACAACTCTTCTTGATATGATTGAACTATTGAATGTTATGATCTTTGAATTATGTCCCAACAATAATATTTTTCAAAAATAAAGTACAATGATATAGTTTCATTTTTAAAAAGAGACTTACAGTACCAAAACCCCTATATATTGTTGCTATTAATAGGAATCTCCATGATGCCAGTGGGTGTGTGTGTGTGTGTGTGTGTGTTTATATATATACATGAGAGGACTTCAAAAAATCTACAATTTGGGCAAATAGAATTAAAAGGTAATGGAATTTTCCTATAAACTTAGTTAACCCGGGTTCTTTTGTAGGCTGTGAGCAAATCCTAGTCACACATATGCACTGCAAACTCGTAATAACTCTCCGTTCCGGTTTTTAGGTAAACATGACTTCCTTTGCAAGGCTCTTTGAGTCCGAGGACAGACTTATCACACTCCACCAATTATCGTAATACACAAATCACAGGTCGGAAACGCCTGGAATGAAACTATTTGGTGTACACAGATTTGACCAGAAAGATCTTAATTTGTTTTTGCTTCATTTTTCAGAAATGCCCTGACTATAGCTATATCCCACCTCATAGGAGAACTTATTCTTCCCAAATAATTTATGACCTCACTGGGCACCGCATAGAAAATTATCTTATATCAACTGCCAATGAGTTTACTCAAAAAAGGTAAGTATTTTATTTACAATATGGTGAATTACCACATCCTGCTTACTAGTTCAAATTGCCTTGTGAATTTGAGACAATAGATGCCAATTTCTATTGATTATTATCCGTACTACAATTCTCAACTTAACTTCAACAGCTTCATGTATGGTCATTTTAGTAAGGATTCCAATTTAAGATTCATTTGAGCAAATGAATTGAAAAATATTAATAGGTTATTTTGTTGTTTTTTTGTTTTGGTTTACCCTCAAAAATATATTGTTACGTTTGCACATATCATTTTCTTAAATTAAAAGACTGGATTGTAGCAATTCAGAACACTACAGGCCATTGATTTTGATGACAACCTTAGACGGGCTATAAAGAAGATTGTGACATTTACTTGGTAAAAAATATGCTAAGTGTCGCAAGGCCACAGGCTTGTACTTAAAGTCTTCTAACTGTTTACCATGGAAGTAAAGCTGGGAGGCTTACAGTTGCTACCACCTTCTCCTTCTCTTTGTCTCTTTCTAAATGCACATGTGATTAATATTCACTGCAAAATAATTAGAAACAACCTAGAAGACAAAATCATACCTCTATAAACAGTTATAAGTAGTACTGCCATTTTGGTATACATTCACCCAGGAATTTTCTACCTGTCTACATAATTTTCTACAGATCGATATTTAACTGTTTGTAATAGAATTAGGTTTATAAGGCAAATTGTTTTAAGAGCAGATTTTAAAATAAGTGAACAATGCACAATGGTGTTTTTGGCATGTTAAAAACATAGTTCCACATCATTACATTTAGGATAATAGTGAAATGATTATTCTAGTGTGACTATACCATTAGTTATTTAACCTGAGCCCAATTAGTGGAATTAAAGTAATATGTACGGACACTTTTTATTAACAAGGAGCCCTATGGTGTAACAGTCTAGTGCTTGGATGCTAAATGCATGGCTGAGACTGAAAACTCTCCCAGCTGCCCAAAGTATACTTAACAACAATATTCTTTTTTTAAAAAACATTTTATTAGGGGCTCATACAACTGTTATCACAATCCATACACACATCAATTGTGTAAAGCGCATTTGTACATCATTCTCAAAACACTTTCTCTCCACTTAAACCCCCGACATTAGGTTCTCATTTTTCCCCTCCCTCCCCGCTCCCCCCTCCCTCATGAGCCCTTGATAGTTTATAAATTGGTATTTTGTCATATCTTGCCCTGTCCGACGTCTCCCTTCACCCACTTTTTGGCTGTCTGTCCCCCAGGGAGGAGGTCACATATAGTTCCTTGTAATCGGTTCCCTCTTTCCTACCCACTCTCCCTTTACCCTCCCTGTTTCGCCACTCACACCACTGGTCCTGTAGGGCTCATCCGCCCTAGATTCCCTGTATTTTCAGTTCCTATCTGTACCAGTGTACATCCTCTGGTCTAGCCAGACTTGCAAGATCGAATTCGAGTCATGGTAGTGGGAGCGGGGAGGAAACATTTAGGAATTAGAGGAAAGTTGTATTTCTCATCGTTGTTACATCGCACCCTGACTGGCTCATCTCCTCCCCGAGACCCCTCTGCAAGGGGATATCCAGTGGCCTACTAATGGGCTTTGGATCTCCACTCCGCACTCCCCCCATCATTCACTATGGTAAGATTTTTTGTTCTGATGATGCCTTATACCTGATCCCTTTGACACCTCGTGGTTGCATAGGCTGGTGTGCTTCTTCCATGTGGGCTTTGTTGCTTCTGAACTTGATGGCCGCTTGATTACCTTCAAGCCTTTAAGACCCCAGATGCTATACTTTTTGATAGCCGGGCACCATCAGCTTTCTTCGCCACATTTGCTTATGCACCCATTTGTCTTCAGTGATCCGTTCGACACCCCGTGATCACACAGGCTGATATGTTGTTCCATGTGGGCTTTGTTGCTTCTGAGCTAGATGGCTGCTTGTTTACCTTCAAGCTTTTAAGACCCCAGAGGCTCTATCTTTTGATAGCCGGGCACCATCAGCTTTCTTCACCACATTTGCTTATTCACCTGCTTTGTCTTCAGCGGTTGTGTCGGGAAGGGAGCATCATAGAATGTCAATTTAATAGAAGAAAGTATTCTTGCGTTGAGGGAGTACTTGAGTGGAGGCCCAATGTCCTTCTGCTACCTTAATACTAAACCTATAAATGTAGGCACATAGATCTATTTCCCCATCCGCATATAAATATATTTGCATATGTACATGTCTTTATCTAGACCTCTATAAATGCCCTTTTCCTCCCAGCTCTTTCCTCTATTTCCCTTGATTCTCCTCCTGTCCCACTATCATGCTCAGTCCCCACCAGGATTTCAGCACTTCCTCTTTGTTACGTTCCCCTTGAACAACAATATTCTTATTATTCGCATTTATGTCTTTTCAAGTCAACTTTTGATTTTCAGGAGGCCATAAGTTGACAGGTAGTTTAATAGACTCAACTCTGAGTGTCAAGGAAAAGACAAGATGTGGCACAAGGTAAAAACACGCGGAAAAGAAGAAATGGAGACATTTGAAAAGGATAAGAGCTGAAGTCAGATCACTTCAGTATTAATTACCCGACAAAAAGAAGCTTATTTAAATTTTGGAGTTTTAAGTTTCTTAATATAATATGTGTTATCGGTAAAGATGGAGGAAATGATTAAACAATATGTCATACTTTTCAGAATAATTACTCCACATTTGTAATTACTTAGAGGAGCTTTTCCTTAACCTCTCCTTATATTGCACACTGTAGATGAAATTATGGTAAAAGGAATCAATCAAAATGTAAACTATTAGTTTGGTTGTATTTATTTTTTTACAATCAATGAACCCCTAATGGAAATAGAAAAAGTAATAAAGAGTACCTAGTTAAATATTTTAGATCAATTTGTGAATTTTTTTCCATTAAAAGAATATAAATTGTATGATTCCATGTAGATATGGAGGCTGGAGTTTTGGGCTGCCTTTGACTCATGACCTTCATTTTGATATAAAAGAAGTCCCTGTCAATAGAACACTCACCAAGGTAATGCATGATCTTTGTTCTGGGATATTATATAAATGAGAATGCAAAATTGATAGGCCCAAGTATTTTCTTGATGTAAAAATAAAACTTGGTCACAATTAATCTGAAAAGCAATTTGACATTATTCAGTAAGATGAAGCTATATCTATTGCCAGGCAAAGTGTTCCAGTTGTATGTATGTTTCCAAAGGATATTCATATCTCACTACTGTGGAATCAATTTTGACACACAGAGATGCAGATACATGTACAAACATGTTTGCAATGTTCTTTCTTATAATTGACAAACATACTATTTCAAATGCCCATATTCCAATTGCTGCATTTTTATTTCATGAAAATTTCAGCAATGTAAATGAATGAACTTGGCCCCATAGAGCAAGCTGGCTGAATCTGCTGGGCATTGTTAATTAGCCAAAAAAAAAAAAAAACAGCAGAGAAGACTTTATAAAGTGTGTTTGCAGTTATAAGAATCTTTCAGCCTCAACAGAGCTCCACCATGTTCCTTAGGGTGGAAGGACTCAATTGTGATTTGAAATTACTCAGAGGGCCAGGGAGGAGGTATTCTGGGTCATGGTGATATTTTATTTCTCAACTTGGGAGATGATTAAAGTATGTGCTCTCTTTAAAATGTTTTCAAAACTGTAAATTGGTCTTACACATGTTTTACACATATTTTCTTATGGAGTAAATGCAGGTGTGTTTAATGTTGATGCTTAAAAAGATGGAGACCTAACTGAATTTGGAGATCAATAATCCTGTTGGCTATTTTTTTCCTCTAGGATAGCTCTGGGCTTTCAAACAACCAGAAGTCGCAGAATCAGACACATATGATAACCATATGATCAATTGTAGTTTTAGGAATTTTGAATTGTTTTGCACATCTTTTGTATTTGTTAGCAAGGGGCATAGACCTGTTAGGGGAAATAGAAAAACAAATATTCATTGAGTGACCATTATATGCCAAGCACCTTATACACAAACTACCAATTTCATCCTTACAACAGCTTTAGGAGATAGATATTCTATTTGGTCTATTTTAGCTGATTTGTACAAGGTCATATAGAAAGTAAATAGTGATCGGTATTCGAATGCCCTCCTTTTATCTGTTCTCCGCTCCACAGACACACATGTTCTTTATAAACAAAGGTGTTTCTAATATAAAATGATTTCTCTGAGTCAAATTTGTAATTTATAATTAGCAACTAGTTATTTTAAAATAAGATAGATTATTATTTTAACGTCCTGTGTTTTTGCCGTAGAAGATAAAGTCATTTAAAGTGAATAAACAGGACTAGAAAGTTAGTGCGAGAATTCCTGAATTGCTAAGCTAGAACCCAGTACCTTGCAAATGTATATAATTTATTCTATAATCTGGCCTACAGAGCATGTGTTTTTCTTATTATTACTCAGCACCAGAAGATCTTAGTCCTAGTCTCAGAATCACCATGGCCTAGACACACACATGGAGACAAGGATTTCTCTAGTCTGTGCCAGGCTGTGCCTGCGGAGGAGAGCTAGGAAAACTAACACTCAGTGCTATCACCCAGAACGAACTGTCTTTCCCACCTCTACCCATGCCCACAATAGAAACTCAGAGGCTTGTGTTCAACACGCTGGGGGGTGGTTCATAATCTTCCAAGATGCAAGAAGTTATTGACAAGTCAGAACTATTGTTTGAAATATTGATTCTATAGGCTGTGAGATGCAAAGACGGCCAAATGTTTGTATTTGAACCCAATATTGATCTCGACTTCGCTTGGAATTTGACAGGTCTGGTACGATCCTGAGGGCTATCACTCCCTTCCAGCTTATCTCAACAGCCTGAACAATTTCCTCCTGCGAGTTAACATGTCAAAACGCGACGCTGCCAGACATGGTAAAGTGACTTACATGGAAGTTTCTTGTATTGCCGCTTTCTACGCTCCATATGAGATGCACGCTAGATCATGCTTCTTCTCCGTGGCATGGAGTTTAGGACTTCTAAATCACAGCTCTGTGGAAGGTGCATGGGAGAAGTAATGACTGCCAGATGGATCATTCGGGATAATACCCTTCCCTTCCAGTTAATTTAGTGTGTTCAACGAGAGCACTAAATTAAATCGGGTCATAATACTGACTTTATGCTCATGCAATCGATGCCATGCTTATTCGTTACATCTCACAGGAAAATAATTTATAACTCTTCATTAAACTGGGACATTCTATCTGAAAAAAGGTTCACCGTATATTGAGCACTTGCCATATGAACCACGCTATTGAGGATGATGGCTAAGCCTTAGAGCCTCAGTTACCATGAGGATTATGGTTCCCCACTATTACTTCTCTGTGATTCAGAAGTCCAGTCCGAACTCATGGCCTGCCTGCTCTTTTGGTAAAACGCCACCCTGCTTCTGTGGAGGTAGATCGTCTATCTAGCCGGGTCTGCCGAGCCAGGTTTCTAGGACCTTCGGGGTAGTTCATTAAGGGGCATTTGGATTGGGAAAGAAATGAGTTCATTTTTTCCTCGTTCCATTACTGCTCACGAGACCCTTTGATTAAGCGCTTCAGTCAAATCGTTCCATACTGATCCTTAAAATCATATGGATAACTAAATGGAGAAAACCAGAGTGGCCCCATTGCTGGGCCACTGCGTGTGCGGCCCCGTGAATAGGGGAAAGACACTGCTCGTGTCGTTACTGCTGGGCGGAACAGTGTCTGCCGGATGTAGTGGCGAGCGCAGCCATAGCTGTAGAGAAAAATGCTCGTTCTAGCAACGGAATCTCTCCAAGTCTTTTCAGAGAAAACATGTTTCTTCCTAACAGCCTTGGCATTTTCTTAGAGGGAGGACCCATGAAGAAAACAACAAGATTGATATTCCTTAGATCTAGACTAGGATGCCAATAAAAGGGCTAGTCACAAGTGGTACATTAAATTAAATGGTGACGAAAGCCAGGTGGGGCTAGGGTAGCCTGGTTGGAAATGCTGTTGGACACTTAGCTTACTTGGCTTTCAGTAAGAAGGTCTTATTCAGCACAGAGGCTTAGCTGTTGCTGTGAAGATCATGGAAGTTTAGGAATAACAGACATGATGAGGAGAAATGTAGAAAAGGTATATATCACCGAGGACAAGAGATGGATGCAATTTTGAAGGGGTCAGTTTAATTTGATTGACATGTAATTCACATATCGTACACTCCAATCATCCAGTCATATTCGAAAGAGTTGTGTCATCATCACCACAATCAATGGTAGGCTCCTTCTTCCTCCTCTCATTCATGGTTACTAGCGGGGGCTTCTGCCAACCCTCCCCTGCCATGCTGTCTGAATGCCCTCCGACTCATTGTCATGGCATCATTGCTGACTCAGAGCGACCCCCGGAGGGTTGCTGAGACTCTCACTGTTTACTGGAGTAGAAAACCCAGTCTTGCTCCCAAGAAAACTCTTAGTCCAGTTGCTATCTCTATAGATTTACCGATCCTCAATTTCATATACAGGAAAACATACAAAATCAAAGCAAAAACAGCAACAATGACCGCAACAATGATCTAGAAGAAAGAAAGTATTAAAAACTGGAACAAACATACATTGCCTTGAAGGGAGCTCATAGGACAGCGTATATCCTTTTAACCTACCACAACTGCAGTCGTCCACCCTGTAGCATGCTCTTGATAACAAAGCCAATCCCATCCTTGGTCCTTGGAATGGATTCACCAGAGACTTAATCCACATGGGGTCATTGCAAGCAGGTTTTGGGTTTTCATCATCATCTATAGCCTTCTGCAAACTGGGTGAACAAAATTTAAGCTCTAGGACGTTTCCGTCTTGAGGGGGTCAGTTTTTTGAAACCTGTAGTCTGCATGTAGGAGCTCTTGTTTTGTAGGGCATGGAGTTGTTGACCACAAGGTCAGAAGTTTCAAAACCACCAGCTACTCTGTGGGAGAAAGATGAGGCTTTCTACTCCCATAAAGATCGAAAGCCTTGGAAACCCAAAGGGTCCTGTACCCTGGGTATAGGGTTACTGAGAATCAACTTGATGGTGGTGAGCTGGAGTGATTCTTCATGCCGTTCACCTGTAGGCCCACCTGGCTTTCATCACCATTTAATTTAATGTACCACTTGTGACTAGGCTTTTTATTGGCATCCTAGTCTAGAGCTAAAGAATATCAATCTTGTTTTCTTCATGGGTCCTCCCGCTGAGAAAATGTCAAGGCTGTTAGGAAGAAACACTGTTTTCTCTGAAAAGACTTGGAGAGATCCCGTTGCTAGAATGAGCATTTTTCTCTACAGCTATGGCTGCACTCACCACTGCATCCGGCAGACACTGTTCCGCCCAGCAGTAACGACAAGTCAGAGAAGCCGACAGTGACAGGTGAAATGCTGCTCACATTTAGAAATATGTGACTCCGACAGTTTTGTTGAGGCTCTTACCACTATATTCTGAAGTGATAGAGTATGAAGAACTAAGAATTCTAGAACATACATTATGTATTGACACTAAGAGGAAGCTCAATTTTTAAAATTTATAAACAGGCTTACTTTGAGCTAGATAGTGATTACTAGTGGTATGACTTATATTCCTTATTAATGTCTCTTCTATTAGGACAGTGGTAGCCTTCCATCTACTCAGGAAGCAGTGTGATTTATTTCAAAGGAGAAATCCATGTCATCCTGAATTACATTAAATATTTTGTAATGCATGGATGGGGTCCACCATGGTAATATCACTTGTGTTTAAAAATTAATTTAATTTCACCACAATAAAATTTGTTTTAAATCAATCCAATTATTTTCCTGCCACCTCCCTCCAAAAGCAACTTCTTTTAAGGCATCTTTGTTAGATTCTGCATGAATTGGGATTTTGCTTTAGCTGAAAAATTGATTTTCTTTGCATTTTAACATGCTAATAAGATTTTTTTAATTAGCTTTCCTTTGAAATGTCAATATCTATTATATTCACGGGGTTCCCTCTAGTGGTAAATTTAACATGAAAATTCTGGGTTTTCTGACAAAAAAAGATCGGCTGGTTTGTTTTCCCCAACAAATATAATATATTTGGGCCTTTTGTATATATATATTTTAAATATTGACAAGTTGCCCCAGTTCATTCTTGCCTTTTGTGGCATTAATAGCAGTGGTCAATCCCATCAGGAAGGGCTCATGCTAGATTTATAACTGTAGTGACAATAGCTACTGCCTTCATTATATGTTGTGTATAGAAGAAATTTAAGATTGATTCAATCTAATAGACATGATTTAACCCGTTACGCTTCCCAAGACGTTGTGCTGGCTGCTATAGTGACTATAGGGAAGATAATGATGTAGGTCCCTAACCTTGGCATGTTTACTCCATCTTTCAGCTAAAGATATGCATGAAAAACAACTAGACACTTATTATGGTTCAGCAGCACTTTCCATTTGCAAAGATTCCTCTGGTGAAACAGGGTATTTCTTGATACTGAAATACAAAGGGGAAATAAAAGAAATGTTTTCCCCTTCCTATATTATAATATTCAGCAACAGGGCTTAAGTAGACCCTCAAGGAAAACGGAATTGTAGACAAAACGAGAGCCCACTAATCCACATAAAAGATAAAATCACATTTCCCCAATGATGTGATCAAAATGATAGGTCAACTTTGTTACGTGGTTGTGAGTTCATTTTGGTTGGCTTAAAGCTGTACACATTACAGAATTCAACGTAAAAGCCAGTCACATTCTACTACTACATATTACAAATTTAAATTCATGGAAATGATAGAACTTTAGGATGCTCTATAATATCTGGATACTCTGAAATATAGATTGAGGTTGTGTGGATAAGCGGCAAGTGAGAATGTTTCCCTTCAGCTCTACAGGAATAAATCATTAAGGACATCTTTACTCCCATCCTCGGCCAGTCTTCTCTAAAGTTATTCACATGGTGCAGCCTCGACCGTCACCAAGTGGTCACTTTGGGCCCTATGTTGGCTCTGAGTAACCAAAGTCTTCTAAGGGAAGGTGTAAAGAACCTTGCTTCTGTTAACTCAGAACGGGTGATCAACTCTGGGGAGTCCCAATGGTATAAGAGGGATTGGAACTATGTGACAACTTCAGGACGCGCCCAGTATCTCTTAATCCTCTTGCGCGTGATGAAAGCTCCCAGGCAGAACGATGGTGACTCTCGGGAACAATGGGCATCTTAGAAGTGGCCAAAAGAAGACGAGATCCTCCAAGGCTATCCTACTGCCACACCATGGACAATGACATAGAAAGACACGGTCCTGGTACCTGTACCAATACCAGTTGCCACAAGTTGACCAACTCATGAAGACCCTTTGTATATCCGAGTAGGACTGTGTGCCATTGTTCTTAATGGCTGCTTTCTCAGACCCAGAGTACGGGACTTCCTTATAAGGCACCTCTGGATGATCTCTTCACACCAACCTTTCCGTTAGCAGCCACAGGTGGTAACCATCTCCGTACCACCCAAAGACTCCTGCGTCTGTTAAACCCAAAACAGCCAAACAAAGCAATCCCAGCCCACTGCCAATGAGTCAAATCTGATTCATAATGGCTCCAGAGGACAGAATAGAACTGTTGTTGAGCCGTTTAAGGAAACCTCTAAATAACTATTACCTTTTGGAGTTGTTTATTTAGTTATAACAGATTTCTAAAGTGTTACTAAGCTGCAAACATTTCAAGACCAGATAGAGAGAAGCTACATTTAAAAGTACCAGAGACAGGAAATGCTATCTTAAAATGATACATTTTGCCCCTCTCCAAAGATTCTGTGGAAAAAGTGTTTTCTTTTTTGGGTGAGGACTGATTTATATGGTGTTGATGGGAATTAGGAGAGATGCGTTGGGCTTTATTCACATTGTAAAAGAGTGTCGTGGGGTAGAATTTGTAGGATATTTTTTTAGATCATAGTACAAGGAAGAAAGCGTTCGTGAGTATTCATCGAAATGACGGTGTTTGTGATGCGCTGAACACTCGCTCATGAAGGCACTGTGTCTTGTTGCAGGCATCATCATGTACAGTCATCCCTATCCAGGAGTGCAAGACCAAGAACAAGCCACGTAAGCAAACGGTGTTGGCCTGCGCCCTTTCTCGGGGGTGCGGCTGAGGCGCTGGATAAGGGGCTATCATTGGAAATGACCATTGTATCAGAATGACTGTCAATCTAGTAAAGCTGGCGATGGATGTCACTGATGGGGATAAAGGAGGCTGGTGAAAGGGTGTCAAGCGAGTTGAGTTTGTTGACTGCAGATTCACGGAGTCTGCCGCGCTTCTAAGTCAAGTGCATGAATGCTTCCTCAATTCAAATTCCCTAAATAGCATTCGAGTCTGTCTGTGCTCAAGTACTGCATATGCCTCGCATACCCGTGGAAACTGAGGTTTTCCATCAATATCCCTAGTCAATTCAGAGGCACCAGAGCTCCATTTACTCCAGGGTCACAGCAGCATCATGCAGAAGGTATTGGCTGGCTGCCTTACAGGAAGCCCTGTTGGTGTCACAGCCAGCTCTTGTACTGGTTTGTTGATGGCTTTGGCCATGACTCCTGCTGAAAGGAAGAGAGTCCCACAAACCCCTGTTTTCCTCTCCCTGTCGCTCCCGGCAGGATCAGCAGTTTAATCGACATTTTAGTGGCACTCTCCATCCTGATGGGCTACTCGGTCACCACCGCCAGTTTCGTCACCTACGTCGTGAGGGAACACCAGACCAAATCCAAGCAGTTACAGCACATTTCAGGCATCGGTGTGACATGCTACTGGGTCACCAACTTCATCTACGACATGGTGAGTCGCGGGATTCACCACGACGGGACATCTCTCTGAAACTCGTTTACTCTGGTGTATTCAAGTCGTCACCACAAGTGCCCAAACCAGCCCACTGCCCTCGAGTGCATTTGTGGCCCAGTCCTCACCACAAACACGCGGCTGTTTTAAAAACGAATCAGTCTTGTACACACCCACCACCAGCCGGAGAAGAGTATGGCTCCCTTCCCCGTGGTCTGGGAAGCCACCCATGGTCTGAGAATGCCCAGTTCTCCAGGGCAGGGTTGAAAATGCAGAATTCTCAGGGCTACCCCAAAGCGGTTAAATCTATGCCTTCGGAGGATGCTGGTGGAAAGGCATTTTTAAGCAAGTTCCCCCAGGTGATTCTGAAACACATTGTCGTTTGAGAACCACTACAGTGAAGAAATAGGAGCTTAATGATGCGGCAGCGTAGTCTTGCCCAACGGTGCCAAATAGTCAAGTTTACAAAAAGTTCATCAGCTACACTGGAAAATCCGAAGTAGCAGCCCCTGCTGACTGGCACATTGGAGAAGATTAGTAGGGAAAAGAGTGGATGTATTTCATTGATCAGTCTCTCATTTGCATAAACTGATCCCAAAGTTCAGATGGGTTTGCTTGACTCCAAATGGGGCTGGGTTGGCCAAAAGCCCAGGATGGGTATGCGTTTGCCTAGTGATTATGGCGATATTGTCCGAGTTGCTGTAGAGATCATTGGCTTGAAGAGTTGGAAAGTAATTAACTGCATATTCATTTTGTTAATGTATCCAGTGAGGTCGGAAATGTGTTTCTTGTAGAAGTCAAATCTCAAAGAACGGTAATGACTGCTCTGGACTTAATAGTAGCTTTAATGTGAACTAACTATTAAGGAAGCTTAAAGTACACACTTCTGTGAAGGTCTCTGATTCTGTTGTCATATATTTTGTGTGCGTTCCAATTTCGGCAATTTTTTCACCAAGTAAAATTGCTGCCTCCTTTATATGTGAATCGTGCTGTAAACTCCTCAGCACTTAATACGAGAGGGGGCTTCAAAAGGTTCACGGGACAACTTCTTCTTTCCATTCCATTTTTCCACACACTTTTTGGGCAACCCGCCCCCACACACACACACACACACACACACATTTCTACTTGCCGATGAAATGTGGAGTTCTTTGTTTATGTACCTGAGAATTCAAGAATGTCTGGGACCCGCTGCCCTGCTGCTTTTTCTGAGAGTGGCTCACACTGATAACCAAGCTTTAGAAATCAACCATCAGAGGGAGTTCCAGCGTTCTAAATGAAATCAATAATTTGAAGACTGACTCTAATACCAAGCTACCTGGCTGCCTTATCTTTCTCACTGAACCTCTGTCGTCGAATGATCCCAAGTCTTAAAGCCTTGAGGCTGGAACACCAGGGACTCCTTATATGTCTATAACGATGGAGACTGGCTTGACCTCATATTGCAGGAGGCAAATTCTAAAATGAAACCAATGTTTAAAAAGCTGAATGTGTTTTTACAGCAACAGGAGCATAAATGAAAGTTCATTTCTTCAAATCTTTCTTGTTCCATGTGTTGCCGTTTTAAATGAGATGCATTATTGATTAAAAAAAATCTATCATATCTTAAACATTGTTTTACATATTCCCAAAGGTCTTCTATTTGGTGCCTGTAGCATTTTCAATTGGTGTCATCGCAATTTTCCAGTTACCTGCCTTCTACAGTGAAAATAATCTAGGCGCTGTCTCTCTTCTCCTTCTGCTGTTCGGGTAAGCTGCTGATTGAGCTATGAAAAAGGAATTAGCAGAATTAACTGCTCCTAGCAGCAAATGGGACCTCAATCACATTAGCTAATTTACAATTGTCTTGGGGTTTCATTTGACATGAGTAATAGCTAATAATACATTACACTTGCTAGTCCATGGTTTTTAAAGTATAATACTTCTGAAAATTACCACTGTTATTATTAATAAGTGTGGTACCTAACACTAATGAGCATTTATTGGGTGCCAGGTGTCATCTTTAGCAGTTTACACATGTAAATTTACATAAAGGTGGGTAAATGTGTATGCGTGGGAACTTATGCATTGATAGTTATATGACTCTATGTAGCATTATAAAACAAATACATATTTTTATCTATGCATCATAAAACAAGCATATGGGTCATTGGTTTTTATTTATACTTTAATAGATTTCTAAAACATGCATATACATTGTTGTTTCTTCATTTAGGATAATACAGATTGATATAAACAATGCTTGGTGTAGCAATTCTTCCTGGTTCAAATTCATGGGTGAGATCTCTTTCGTTAGCTATTGTGGCTGATGCTGGCCTCTTCCATTCCTAGTTCTGCTTCATTGCCCCCAGTGTTGCTCAAGTCTGCTCAGAACAGGCTATCTAGTTCTACACGGACTAACCTACATAGTCTATAGCAATGTCACTGTTCCTGCAACTTTATGGAATCTGTTCTAGTTAAACTTATGTTTCTGAGCAAATGAAATTTTGCTAGGAAGAATAGTGCAATCCCCATGGAGCATTCATTTGTAGTTGTAATGATCTAGGAATACACCAAGTTCCTCAAAATAGAGTTTTCTTCTGTGATTAAAAGAAAATCCCCCCCCATTTTTTAATGTGTATGTATTTTAAATTTTCAAATGATTTTTCTTTTCTTCCTTTCTTTTTGTAAAAAAGGGGAGTGGAAATGGGAGATCTATCCCCAAGGCTTGGCAACTACTTTCGAATGTTTACATTTACCTTGGTACTCTAACTGAGTATGTTGGTTTGCTTATTTATTTAGTAAAGAAGAACACAGAAGCATCATCTTAATTTTTAGCATGCTTAACTTACAGGTATGCAACATTTTCCTGGATGTACTTGCTGGCCGGGCTTTTCCATGAAACTGGAATTGCCTTTATCACTTATGTCTGTGTCAACTTGTTCTTTGGCATCAATACCATTGTTTCCCTGTCGGTGTTATACTTTCTTTCCAAGGAAAAACCTAATGATCCGGTAAGGTTCTTTCTTAGTTTGCTAAACTTTCCTCAATGTGCCAAAAACTCAAATGGAATGGTGTGTGTGTGTGTGTGATTTTGCATTCTTTAAATAGATAATACACATTTCATTTAATTCTGTTAAATGTAGTCAAACAACAACTTTCAGAATTCTTTTTAGGCTCAGTTAGGTTATTGCCTATGGCTGCATTTGTCCTGTGTTAAAGCTATTGCCATTTGGCAGGGCTAGCGTGGAGTGATGGACATGGAATCAGCTCTGTGACATAGCTCGAACCAAAAGCATTGCTACTGAGTTGAGTCTGCCTTATAATGATCCTACAGGGGAGCGTAGAACAGCCTTATAGACTTGTTTGAAAGCTGTAAATCTTTATGGAAGCAGACGGCCTCATCTTTATCTGATTGAAATTGCCAGCCTTAGCAACTTTAGCTCTGAACTACTCAGGGCCCCTTAGACAGCTTGTTTAGCACCACATAAAGCATTCAATCAACTGGTCAGCTAAACTTTTTACTAACAACTCGTTATGTATGGCGGTGACAAGGACAATGATTTAGTTATGTGGCTGAGTTAGGAACCACTTGAACATTCATAGAGGAGAAAAACCCTACTTCATTCCCTTTAGTCTACTTCACCATACGCATCAGTTCCCATTCAGAGTTGACAGTTATGATTGGTGAGAAGAGGTGCACTAACGGTGCCAGGCAATTGAGTGGAAAAGAATAGAGAGGAGATGACGTGAACTGAGAAACAGACAAGCCCACTCCAGGAGGAGGGAGAAAATTCACGAGGAGGAAGTGGTTGTGAATACCGTGAAAATGAGCCATTTGCTCCTCGTTGAGATGTTTTCTCTTCCTCTGTGTCATGTCACCAGGTTAGTCCCTCTCCGAGTAGAAATGACCGGAGGTTCTGGGGCATTACTGTGCTAACTACCTCCCTCATTCACGTTGCTGCCCTGACCCTGTATCCCAGTCTAAGACCCCTCCTTCCCCTCCCTTCCTGCGGACTAAGGTCTAGATGTCATTCTGTCTGACCCATTAAATCACCTCAAGCCCAGGGCAGTTCTTTTCTGCCTGAACTGTAATGATAAACGTCCAGAATTTAGTTAAATATTTATACTAACATAATATTCTTATGAAGTTATTGGCCATCTAGATAAGCTTCTAGGCATTTAATATTTGTCTATGTCAAGTTTTAAGATTTTTGGAAATATAACACTGAGTTTCATTTCTGTTTTTCCTCTTTCAGACTTTAGAACTTATCTCTGAAACCCTCAAGCGCATTTTCCTGATTTTCCCGCAGTTCTGCTTTGGCTATGGGTTGATTGAACTGTCTCAGCAGCAGTCGGTCCTCGACTTCCTAAAAGCCTATGGTGTGGAGTACCCAAATGAAACCTTTGAGATGAACAAACTCGGTGCAATGTTTGTGGCTTTGGTGGCTCAAGGCACCATGTTCTTTTGCTTGAGACTCTTAATTAATGAATGGCTAATCAAGAAGTTCAGGTAAATTTACTGGGGAATGATAGTTGGTGTTTTGGAGGGCACTTGATTCAAAAGATTTGGGGAGGGATCAGAAGTCTATATTTTCACACTAGCAATATAAAAATGTTTTGTTCAAAAATATTAGAAAACATTAATATAATTAACTATTCATTTCAAGCAGTAAGGATTTATCCAACCTTCTTATGTTGCCTGCAAGTTTTACTGTAGAGTAGCAGAGTAAAGTTAAATAAGCACAGTGATTAGACATAAAGAGATTATTATTTGGTGAAAGAGTTAAAATATGGACCTAAACAAACAAACAAACCAAAACTCACTACCATCAAGTTGATTCCAAGTCATCATGCGCCTACAGGACAGAGGGAACCACGTGGGTTTCTAAGACAGTAAATCTTTACTCCAGTAGAAAGCCTCATTTTTCTGCCCTGGAGCAGAGGGTGCAGTTCACTGTGTAGCCACGATGCCACCAGGGCTCCACATGAGCCAGCGGTGCTTGCTGTCTCGGTGCTGAGTTTGGAAGACTAGAAGTACTGTAGCCACAGGAGCGACGAGGGGAAGGAATTGTGGGTGTAGCTCGCAACAGCCATAGGCTCAGGAAAAGAACATGGAGATAAGGGAAGAAAAGAATCGTTAATGATAAGGGGGAAAGCACATATCATTGACCCAGCATTTTTTAAATTTAAATCATTTTATTGGGGGCTCATACAACTCTTATCGCAATCCATATATATATCCATTGCGTCAAGAACATTTGTACATTTGTTGCCCCCGTCATTCTCAAAACATTTGCTTTCCATTTGGACTCTTGGAATCAGCTCCTCATTTTACCCTCCCTCCCTGCACCCCATGAACCCTTGATAATTTATAAATTATTATTATTTTATCATATCTTAGACCCAGCAATTTTATTCTAGGATTTTTTCCCCTAAAGATAAGCTTTCACAATTTTCCCCTAAAGATAAGCTCTCACAATTATGGCACCATTGTGGCACCATTACTAATAGATAAAGAATAGTAACAACCTAAATGTTCTCCTCTTAGGGACTGATTTTTAAAAGTATATACATTCATAAAGAATAATACAATTCTCTCTGTATTCTTTGAAAGTTCTCTAATATTATTTGTAAATTTAAAATTGCAAGGTTTACAACTATGTGCAAGGCATGTTCTCATTTCACTTAGAAAGGAAATAATTGTATCATTTATGCCTATATGCATAAGTTATTTTCGATCGGAGTGTTTCTGCTGAAGAGACCTGTATAAGACTATGTTTTCTTCACTATACGTTATAGTTCAATCTTTATACCCATATGTATATGTTACCTACTAAAAAGTACATTTTAAACTTAAAAACAATGAAAAGACAGACAAGAACAGTGGTGGTCAAAAACTATCTTAGGGAATACTGAAGAATTGGGTAGTCCAATTGGATTAGAACAAAGAACAAATGCAATTAAATAGTATGTAGTTGGGAGATTATGAAGTCTTTTGATAGCTCTATGAAAGAGTTTGTTTAGACTTTACACAACAACCAGAAAGTGAAGGATTTTGAACAGAGAACAGCATGATGAAATGATGCTTTAGGAGATAGAATTGTGTGGGCATAGTGCTGATCGGAATGGAAGAGTCAGAAAACTTGGAGTACCCGGAGGCTTGTGGAGAAACAGAAAATAACCAATGGGAGGAAGTGTCTTTTCCAGAAGTGACAGAGTGACTGCAGAACTGGATTTGGGAATGAGGAAGCTATGTTATCTCGGGATGAAGAGGTGGGGAATGCTGAACAGACACAGGAGCAGTGGGAAGAAGGGCTGGGTTTATTTGTGGGTTTCTATTGTGCTTGGTTTGGAATTCACTGGGATTTTGTGAGTTTGCAGTGCTGAAAAAGTCAAAGTATTGATTGGGTGAGGCATTCATGGAATAGAGTGAGAACAACATTTGCATTCTTCATGAGTGAGAAGGTTTTTTTAAGATGTTCATTGACCTTGGGTTTGTGGGTGTTGGACCATTTAATGACTCTGGACCATCTATTGAGAAGCATCCTTCAAACCCATACTGACCTCCTTGTTACTGAAATTAGGATTTTGAATTGTATAGTTAGTCTGTACATAATGAAGGCATGGAAAATAACTCTCTTTCCCAGACATCATAGGAAATATGAGGCAGAGAGAACATATTGATTTCTCAGTGACTTGAGTAGCATATTAAATTTAACAAATAAAACCTCCCAAAACCTAGGATGGTCCATTTTCAGTGAAGGGAGAAGCCATGGAAAGATGTCGGCATTGAGTGGTGTCATTTCAACCTCATGTTGCATAATCTCTGGGTCCGTTTTTCAGACTCTTCTTCAGAAAATTCATGTCTTCACCTGGAACGGAGACAATCGATGAAGACGAAGATGTCCGGGCTGAGAGATTCAGAGTTGAGAATGGTGCTGCTGAGTTTGACTTGGTCCAACTCCATCGTCTGACAAAGACCTACCAACTCATCCACAAGAAGATTATAGCTGTAAACAACATCAGCCTTGGAATACCGGCGGGAGAGGTAAGGAAAAAACAAACAAAAGCCTTTTGTCTCTAATGTTTTTGGGATGAGCACAATAAATCACAAATCAACATGTTTCATTTTCGCTTAATATTTCTTTCTGGAAATAGAAACGATTCTGTACTGGTGAGAGAAGGATCCAGTCAGTCCCTGATGTCCATGTGTTACTTAGGCTTTGAGCCTTGCCTCTTGGCAGGGCGATTCACAACCTTCACCATATGTTAAGTCCTCAGCCTCTTCCCAAGCGACTGTCCTCTCTAGGGTGGGCTTTCAGTCAGGAAGCCTGTGAAGGGTGCTTTCTTTCCCTTTTAGTTTCCAAGCCTCTTGAGAAGACAGTTTAAAGAAGTCCGTTTTCAGAAATGCAGACCTAGAACCTCCGTTTATATGGAGGTCGCTGCTCTCACAGAAGCAATAACAAGGCCATTCTGAAAGGAGAAGGTGAATGGCAGTATTTCCCTTCCTTCCTAGCCGAGTTGCAGACCAAATGCATTAAATTTCATTTGACAGAATAAAGAAATTATTGCTTCAGTAGCTTATTCAGTAGACTTGTGATTTTGTATGAATTATGTGAAATCTATAAATGTAATGACTTTGTCAGTTTAGCGAATCTTACTTGTGGGTATTATATCAAGTCACAGAGAGCCTTGCTAGCATAGAATATGTAAAACATGCCCTATATATGTATTTATACACGTAAGGATTTTGTACTCACATGCAAATGTTCAGGTGGTTAAAGGGAAAAAATATGCAAATGCTCATTAGTGTCCTAGAGTAAATTTTATCAAGCTGCCACAGGAACATGACAATACCCCTAAAGAATTCCAGCAATTTGTTTTTCTTGGTAATTTGTCTTATCTGGGGAGAAAAAGAAATGAGAGATAGGAGCAGCCTGTCTTGGGTTTGGATTAAGATTTACATCTTTTTCTGTTTCCCCCAACCAAGTGTTTTGGCCTTCTTGGGGTGAATGGAGCAGGAAAGACCACTATCTTCAAGATGCTGACTGGAGATGTCATTCCTTCAAGCGGAAACATTCTGATCAGAAATAAGACTGGGTATGCAAACACTAACGTATCTGCTGGCAAGGCATAGAATAACCAAATGAGTAAAATAATTAAAATAGACTGCTTATATTATTTTATAGTTACCGTATATACTCAAGTATAAGCTGAGATTTTTTAGCACATTTTTAATGCAGTGTTTGTGATAAAATTAGGTGCCTTGGCTGATATTCGGGCCGGCTTATACTCAAGTATATACGGTATATGAAATCCGTAGGGGGCTAAAATTAGCTATCAGAATTAAGAAAGGAAAATTAAAAAAAATTAAAATTGTAACTGTCATGGAAATTGACGCTAGAAGCAGTACGGTCCTGGAATCCTAAAGGAATGATTCTTCACTATCCTCCAGGCTCACCGTGAGTCAGATCACCTCAACCGCAAGGGGTTTGAGGATGATAGGATTATTTTAATGCTTCTGAACAGACTCATTGTCTTGGGGGCGGCGGGTACAGACATTAAGCTACTAATCAAAAAGCTGAAGGTTCAAGTCTACCCAGAGGTACCTTGGAAGAAAAGTCTGGAGATCTACTTCAGAAAATCCAGCCATCAAAAACCTCATGGAGCACAGTTCCACTCTGGCAACACACGCAGGCCCACCCAGAGGGAGAACCACTCTAAAACAGTTGCTGGTTATCAGAATCGCCACCATCGTAGTCAAAACTGAGCTCCTTTCCCCGTGTTTGGGAGCCGGGGGGGAATACAGCTCTTGAAACTCATGTATGTCTTTTATCTGCTCACGTTAGATCTTTGGGTCATGTTGACTCTCACAGCTCGTTAGTTGGCTACTGCCCTCAGGAAGATGCTTTAGATGATCTGGTGTCTGTGGAAGAACATTTGTATTTCTATGCCAGGATACATGGAATTCCAGAAAAAGACATAAAAGAGGTAAGTACAAGTGTGAAACAGGAGTTCATTTGGAAAGTCATTATTATATCTGTCCCCAACCCCACACCCACTCACTAAGAAGACCAACTTAACCTTTGGAAATTGGTGACATTGTCTTCCTGGTACTAACAATAGATAGATAGATAGATAGATAGATAGATAGATAGATAGATAGATAGATAGATAGATAGATAGACAGACAGACAGACACACATATATGCAATATATACACACACACACTCAAATTATATATATCTCACATCACCAGCCTATGAACTAAACTTTAAAAATTCTTTCCCCTGGTTTTAAATTACTTTCTAAGACTTTTCCGAGAAGATCACACTTGCATTTGTCTCTTAGTTGAGCCTTGGTTGGTGCTGCCTATACGTGCTTTCCATGTTCAAGTAAGCAATAAAGCCCGAGATTCACTACAAAATGCCCAAGTAAAATAGAATATCTTCTATCTTGTTTTGTAAATTGCCAGCTTTGTTCTTTACTGCAACCATATGCCTGTTTAAGCAATGACAAAGTCTTAGTGCAATTTCCTCTGTTTTCACAACCCTGGAGACCTACTGTCTAAGTATGCAGGATTACAGTCTTCACCAGGGTTGCTTTACAGTAAAAATAGCCATCAAAACCTAATTCTTAAGTTGACAGGGTAAAGTTTTGGTAGTGGGTCTGTATGCAAACGCTGCATGGGTCATAAAAAATGTGGCTACAATCAACATCCATGGAAGCAGTAGTCAAGACATCTATATACTGCATTGGGTATATATCCAAACGATTCCTGTAAGTGTTAAAAAGTAAAAATACCACATTAAGGAATAAGGTGTGCCTGATCCAGGCGACGAGGAGCTCTAGTGGTGTTGTGGTTGGACTGCTAACCGTAAGGTCAGCAGTTTGAAACCACCAGCCTGCTCTTCAGCAGAAAGACGAGGCCTTCTATACCTGGGAAAAATTACAGTCTCAGAAACTCACAGGAGCAGGCCTTCTCTGTCCTATAGGGTTGCTGGGAGTCAGAATTAGCTCAACAGCAATGAGTCTGATTTTGGTTTGGACTCAGGCCATGATATCTTCAATCACCTCATATGCATACAAAAGCTAGAACATGCATAATGAAGATTGAAGACCAATAGATGCCTTTGAACTAAAGTGTTAGCAAGTAGTACTGAATATACTATGGAGGGCTAGAAGCATGAACATATCTGTCTTGAGCCAAGTGCAGCCAAGAGGGCGAGACTTCATCTCTCATCCTTTGGATATGTAGAGACTGGTCCCTGGAAAAGGACACCATGCACGCCAAAGTCGAGGCGCAGCGAACAAGGGAGATACTCAGTGATAGGAATCGACAGAATGGCTGCAACAATGGGCTGAAATATTAGGTGGGGTGGAAATCCCCAGAAACCCCCAAGAAAAGAATTTTTCTTTTCAAAGTGATGAATTTAATTTTTTTAACCAAACAATCTTATCACCTTCAATGTATTCTCCATTACACTTAATACATTTGTCAAATCTGTGATTACATTCTTGGAAACATTTTTCAAACCCATCTGTTTAGATGGCTGACAGTATTTCCCTCATTTTTTTCTTCACCTCTTCTATGTCATCAAATCACTGTCATGTCTTGTCCCTCATCACTCACAGCAACAAAAAGAAGTCACATGGAGTGGGGTCAGATGAGTCAGGTGCATGGGGTAAGAGAAGCATGTTGATTTTTGCCAAAAACGGGTGCACTGAGATGTTTCTGTGAGCAGGTGCACTCTGCCCTGGCGGCAAAACCAGTCCCCCATCTGTCACAAATCAGGCCTTTTATGTCACACACTGTTACACAGTCTTTTTAGAACCTCTAAATAGAAAGCTTGATTAATATTCTGACCTCTTGGCATGAACTCCAAATGCATCTCCAAATGTGGCATCTCCAAGTGCACAAAGAGCATCATCTTGATCTTTGATTTCACTGGAGGAGCTTGGTTTGGGTGAGGTGGTGATGGCGTCTTCCACTGGCTTGAATGATGTTTGCTTTCGGGGTCGTAAGAATAGCATCATGTCTCATCACCAGTAATGACCTTGGGGAAAACGGCCAGGTCAATTCAGAGCTGTTCTTTCAAAGCACAGCATGTTTCCACTCAACGCTCTTTTTCCCGTTCAGTCAAAACCCGAGGCACAAATTTGGCCGTGACCCTTCCCATTCCCAAATCTTCCGTTAAAATTCACTGAACCGAGCTCTAAGACAGTTCAGATAACTTCCCCATCTCTTCCATATCTGTCGTCAGTCTTCGAGCACACGTGCACAAATTTTGTCAGCATTTTTGTTTGTTCAAGAAGTTGATGGACATCTAGAATGAGGTTTGTCATCAATCGACATGTCACTTTCTTTGAAAGGAGAAAACCACTCATAAACTTGAGTTTTTCCCATAACGCTGTCCTAGTAAGCTGTGTTCAACATCACAGCAGTTTCTGTGGCATTTTTCCCAAGCAGGAAACAAAATTTCACAGCCACACACTGTTCTCTTAAATCAGCCATCATAAAAACAAGGTTCAAGCGAAACTTTCTATGAAGACATTCTCTGTGACCAGAGAGCACCTTCCCAGTTGACTCCACTTGGGTGCACTAACTCAGAGCGAGTTGCTCAATGCTTACATACTACGAAAGCTCTGCCCAGTGGAGATTTTTTCTGGAGTTCTGTTTTAGGGGGTAGGTACCCCCTCATATAACAATAACTGTGAGGGTGGCACAGTTGTTGTATGGAGGGTTACTAAGAGTTGGAACCAGCACAGCAGCAACTAACAACAAGAGCTGCAGCTTTAAAAAGACTTAAAACCCTTAAATGAGGAGGAAGATGGTGCAGTGATGATGTCTACCTGGTGAAGGACTGTTTATCTTTTTAGAAAAGCTGTACCACAGAATCATAGCACACCATAATAAACAATCCCACCATTGTCAGTACACACACATAATTAGAAAAGAAAAATCCCATTTCCAAATGAGTCCCCAGGGCAGCGCTTCTCAACCTGTGGGTCGTGACCTCTTTGGGGGTTGAACGATCCTTTCACAAGGCGACCCTTTCACAAGTAGACCCGATTCATCACAGTAGCAAAATTACAGTTATGAAATCGCAATGAAAATAATTTTATGATTGGGGGTCACCACAACATGAGGAACTGTATTAAAGGGTTGCAGCATTAGGAAGGTTGAGAACCACTGCTCTAGCCCATTGCATTTACTATTAAATGAGATCTAAAGTGGGTTTCAGAAATTAAGGAATCCAAATGCTTTCATTTGTTTTAGACACGTTTTTCTTCACAATATGACTCTCATTTCACAAATGGATGCATTAAAGGTTTTGTCAGGGAAAGGCAACCTAACTCCTCTCTTGTGGTCCACAGACTGTTCATAAACTTCTAAGGAGACTTCACCTAATGCCCTACAAAGACAGACCTACCTCTTTGTGCAGTTATGGCACCAAAAGAAAAGTATCCACTGCACTGGCCTTGATCGGAAGACCATCCATCCTTCTGCTGGTAAGAGATTCTGATGAAGACAGGATGTGAAATCATCACAACCACATATCTAGCTGTGCATGTAACATTTCATCATGATTGTAATAACCTTGCCTAGATGTCTTACTGTGTGCTTACTATTGTAGAAGATCGTTTACGTGCACAATCTGATTATGGGAATTTCTACCAGCAAATAATGTGTTACCATGAAAACACATCTTTAAAAACATGATTAATCTATTTTTTTATTTGAAGCTGTCACTCATCTTAGGAAAGAGCAATATATTGTGCTAAAGTTTTATTTTCCTGGATGGTAAAGAGGTGAATCCCATTGGAAGGTGATCAATAGTATACCATTCTTTTTCATCTGAATGTTTTTGGAGGCAAGGAAACACTGTGGTTGAACAGAGTCTTAGTTATCTACAAGGTGTATGCTAAAAGAGAAATCCTGTAAGTAGGTGACTTTAACACACAGTAGGTGACATTTTTCATGACAGGTTGAGAGGTTAGAGGTCTAAATTTAGGGCACCTGTTAATGTAGTAGGTATGAGTTGGGCTGCAATCCAAATGGGTGGCAGTTCGAAACCACCACTAGCTATGAGGGTGAAAGTCTGGGCTTTCTACTGCGACATCAACAGTCTAGTCTCAGAAACCCAAAGGGGAGTCCCTATGAGTCAGCATTGACTCAGTGGCAGCGGGTTTGGTTTTGGTATTAGGGTACCCCCCACCCATCCCCCCTTCACTCTAGCTTCGTGCTTGTTCTATGTCAAAAGAAATTAACTTGAGGCACATCCTACACTGATATTAGCTCATTCACAAAACAAAGGAAACCTATTCCCAATTGGGATTATCGCCAAAGATATAGGAGTTAGAATTTGCAGCACATGCTTGGGGCTGGGGGTGTCACAATCTCCTCCATGACACTTTTATAGTTTGACATAGACCTGGAACATTCAATTGATCACCTAGAAATTTCATTTACACGTAAAGGCAGTTAGGTAGCATTCTGCTCCAGGGCAAACCATCTTCAAAGACGTTCTTCTCAGTGAAACGAGGTTGCCCTTAGTTTAGGACCTTCAAACTCAGGGAATTCAAACTCAGTAAGAGGCATAACTCTATGTAATAGAAATCCTGTTATGAATCTCTACATTATTCCATGGATTAAGTAATACAGTATCTCCAATCATTTCAACTGCTGCGATAAACCGATACACAACATGTATAATAGAGAAAGTTTACAATGCTGTGTATCCTTGCCAGTCGATGTTTATAATGGGAATCTGTTGTACAAGTGCCCTTTAAAGTGAACAAAACCATCCTTAGGCACCGCTGGGAGATAATAGATACAAAGCACTTAAAAATATTAAAAGCACTATGCAAATGTTATATGTTAACCAGCTGAACCCAAATACAAGCCATGAGAGAAAGAAAACATGCTGTGCTCATTATGCGTTTATGATAATTATGATAAATGCTGAATAGATGGGAGCAACAGCAACACACTGCCATCGAGTCAGGACTCAGAGCGACCCTACAGGGCAGGGTAGAACTGCCCGGGTGGGTTTCCGAGACCGTCACTCTTTATGGGAATAGAACGTCTCCTCTTTGTCTCTCGAGGCTTTTGGTGGTTTCAAACTCAGAACCTTGTGGTTCACAGCCCAATAGGTAACCACCGCACTGCCAGGGTGCCCATGAACAGGAGCAGTGATGGTATATCTTTTGCCGTTATTCCCAAATTAATACGCCTTTCTTGAAATTTAACTCTGACCCTTTACTATAAAAACAAGCCTCTCGTTGCTCTACGGACACGGGTTACCTTATAGTTTGTGTTTTCCTTTTTAGCCCATTCTTGACCTATCATTTGTTTTTGTTTTTTCATCTCGAAGAATCTATTATTGCCTCTTGTGATTGCCCATGACTGCTTCTCTAATTTTTATGACTGGGCAATTTTTCAAAACAGTACTTATAAAAAGTAATGTTTTTCTATCTGCTTGGCAATTTCCGAGAGTCCCTCAGTTTTAATTGCATGGAGAGTATCAAATTGCAATTAATAACATCAAACTATAAAGACACCTGGAACAGATGAGCTGAAAAAAATCAAAATTGTGTTCTTTCCGCCCCACATCATGTATTCTCACCTGCAGCCCCAATTCTGCTCTCAGAAGCAGAAGCAGGGTTGGCAATACCTTGTTGACATAGCTTCAAATATATATGTGACAATGTAACACTATGTGTAAAAACTTTGCTTTGTCACTTAAAGAAGCAAGTTTGTTGTTTTTTTCTCTCCAAAAGAATTGAAGAGACAGGTGTGAAGTAACAGGGTGTCAGCTTCACTGAGACACTTTCTGTAAACGGAGTGACAATTTTACGTGATTAGTTTGGCGTTTTTGTCAGCAGGAGAAAGAAGCCTGTTGAGTATAAAACAAGTTAGTCACAGGACTTTGCAAAGTGATTTCTGTTCCAGGGTATGTGATGGGATGATTCATCTAAAGAGCTTCATCAAACATTAATTAATTTGATACATTTTTCTTGTAACATTTTATGAAGGATGAGCCAAGTTCTGGAATGGATCCTAAGTCGAAGCGGCATCTATGGCGGATCATTTCAGAAGAAGTGCAGAGCAAATGCTCCGTCATCCTCACCTCGCACAGGTAAACCGAGGGGCGACTTTGAAATCAGCCGGCACAAAGGATCATATGATAATAGATGGGAAACGGCAATCTCTGTAAAATGTTTATTGGCTGTGAATTAAAATCGTAGGGGGAGCAAGTCAGGCAAGTTACCCGGTGAAAATGCAGCTGCAGTTGGGTGGCTCTCGTTGACAGCCTGATATTGCTGATTCCCACTGTTAGAACTGCCCTTGGGGCTTCTCTGGACTGTAATCCTTAGGGAAGATTTAAATTCTCTGTTTCTTTCTCCAGCACAGCCTCTGAGTGGGTTCAAACCACCAAACTTTCAGTTGGCAGCCAGGTACTTAATGAGAGTGCAGGCCCTAAGCCGCCTGTTGAAAACAAGTTTCTCATGATGTACAGTCTTTGGCTCCTCAATCCCTATCAAATAAAGCTCAGGGTCCTTAGGCTTAGGAGATAGGCCTTCCATTATCTGAACTCATCTAAATGTCCACTCTTTTTTATTTCTCCCCATGACAACTTTCATATTAGTTGATTCAAATGGCTCATGGTTTCGCATACACACACTGTCCTGCCATACCTCTATGCCTTTCCGGAGCTGGCTTTCCACCTGAAATGGTCGATACAAAGTTTCTCTGTGTTCCAGTCCTAAACCAAGCCAAACTCCAGTGCCATCAAGTCAGCTCTGACATAGCCATCTTATAGAATAACGTCGAGCTGCCCCACGGGGTTTCCAAGGCTGTAATCTGTAGGGAAACAGACATCTATATCATTCTCCTACAGAGTAGCTGGCGAGCTTGAACTGTCAACCTTTCAGTTAGCAACCAAACACTTAACCACTGCCCCACCAAGGCTCCTAGTACCAGTCTGACCAGTACTCTAAGAACCAGCTCACATGCCTCCCTTCCATGAAGCAGATTCTGAATCCAATCATCTAAGCATAAGAGCCACTAAAACACTGTGTCTGGGCTTCTCTTACGACATTGAGCTTGTATGTCACCGTTGTTAGGTACCATTAAGTCCGTCTGACTCACAACAGAATGAAGCACCTCCTGCTCCTACATCATCTTCACAATTGTTCTTCTGTTTGAGCCCATTGTTGTAGCCACTGAGTCAATCCATCTTGTCCAGGGCCTTCCTTTTTTTGTTTCCCCTCTACTTTCCCAAGGATGATGTCCTTCTCCAGTGACTGGTCTCTCCTGATAACGTGTCCAAAGTATGTGCCACAAAGTCTTGCCATCCTTATCCTTACCTCTAAGGAGCATTCTGGTTGTCTTTCCAAGATAGATTTCTTTGTTATTTTGGCAGTCCACACCACTTTCAATATTCTTTATCAGCACCATCATTCAAATGCATCAATTCTTGTTAGGTCTTCTGTATTTAGTTCAACTTTCACACGCATGTGAAGCTTTTGAAAATACAATGGCTTGGGTCAGGCACACCTTAGTCCTCAAAGTAACATCCTTGCTTTTCAGCACTTTAAAGAGATCTTGTTCAGCAGACTTACCCAGTGCAATGCGTTGTCTGATCTCTTGACTGCTGTCCATAAACAATGATTGTGGATCCAAACAAGATAAAATCCTTGACAACTTCAATCTTTTCTCTGAGCATCATGATACTACCTATTGGTCTGGTTATTAGGAATTTATTTTTTAAGCAAAAGGGAAGAAATTTATTGGAGCCCATACAGGAAATCCTAGAGGGGCCCAGCATTCCCTACTTACTGTGTAGGCATGCCCAGCAAAGGGTCATAGATTCACTGTACCCCCATGTCCCAGAGGGACTCCCCTGGAGCCTAGCCCCAAAGCCCCAGGACTGGGTGGGGGTAGGGAAGGGCTTTCATTTTCCTTACATTAAGTTGTAATCCACATTGAAGAAAGCATCACAAGAAGGTGGAAGGAGTACACAATGGCCAGACTTCACTTGGCGTACTTGGGCAAGTGATCAAGAAAGGCCAGTCCCTGGAAAAGGAGACCAGGCTTGGTAAAGAGGAGGGGCAGAGGAAGCCTCTCGGTCAGATGAATTGACGCGGTGGCTGCGGTGACCAGACGGGCTCACACATCACAATTGTGAGGATGGTGCAGGACCAGGCAGTGTTTCCCTCAGTTGTGCACAAGGTCACTATGAGTGACCCAACAGCACTTGACAACAACATGTCACCTGAGAAGAAAGCAGCAATTCGCCTTATCTGCAGGCATTTGAGTTCTATGGTATTTTCCGTTGCTCTCCTTCAAGGAAAATGTCTTTTAAGGAGCTAAAATATAATTTACAAAGTAAATTTATATGAAACAGTTAAGCTTAAGCCCATGAAACTGAAGCCTACTGTTGTGTGCCTTGGATGCTGAATTACCTCTTGGCTCTTGTTTCAGCATGGAAGAGTGTGAAGCTCTCTGTACCAGGCTGGCCATTATGGTGAATGGAAGTTTCCAGTGCATTGGTTCCTTGCAGCACATAAAGAGCAGGTGAGGGATCATGTGGTGTTTACCATATTCTGTTGGACCCTGACTCTAATGGGGCGCTAATCCTCAAGTGTTATCTCCGGCAATGTGGAGGCTCTCGTTGACTCCTTTGTGTTAATTTTTAAATCAAGTTTTGATGCGTTTTAACTGACTAATCCAACAACCTAGCTGTCCTAAAGCTAAAAAAAAAAGCACAACCCATACATTCTCAAGAAACAGCTTCAAGAGTTTACTAAAGATCCAATTCGACCCTGAGAAGTGCATGAGGTTTTATCTTTTCATTTGCCATTGGCACTAGCTTCAACAAGCTATTTAACATATTTATTATATTGAAAACCTTTTGATCAATAATACATTAGAGAAGTAGGCATAATGGCATTAATATCAAATCAAAATGAAACGAATACTGTATTTGACCAGTGTTGTGCATTTATTCATATACACGTTAACATCTAGATGTTAGGGTGTTATGTTTTATTTGTACAAAAATGTTTCTTTCTTGTAAGATAGTATTCGCCAAGATAAGAATCCAAGAGAGAAAGAGGGTCTTAAACGTTGCTTGTAGGAAGACTGTTGTAGCTTCTTTTTGAACTTGGTGCTTACAGTTCACTAGCATGTTGATTTGTTATTTATTTTTATAACCCAATGACTTTCACCTTTGCTGTTGACAGGAAATCTCCAAGGGATTGCTTCTCAAGGCCTTGCTTATTTTAAAATTAGAAAGTATTTAACCTCTCAGACTGACATCAATTGCCAATTCATGGATGTCACAGAAAGCCGAGATGTTAGGTTCTCTTTCTAATGCAGCTTTCACACAAAGAGTTTGACTCTGTATCATGGTAGAAAGAAATTAAAAAATCATGGCACTGCACGTTTTCTAGTTTGTCACATGCCCTGATCTTTTATGGCAAAATGACCGTCTTCTTATGAGACAGGGACTGTAATTGTCCGCTCGGGTCCTTTTTCATTATCTGGAATTCCAGGAGAACGATCTTGGCAAAGGGTCACTCCTGTCATATTTTGCGCTTTTTCGTTGTAGGTTTGGACGAGGATTTACTGTGAAGGTGCACTTGAAAAATACCGAAGTGAGCACGGAGGCCCTGACAAGGTTCATGCAGCTGCACTTTCCAAAAACATACTTGAAAGTGAGTCAGACACCGTTGGATCTTGCCTGGTTCGAATTGTTATAATCTAAAATCACAGTGGAAATTTGTCATTTTCAAGTTGACCAGAGCTGTGTTATTAATCCTAATATGTTGATTATATCAACACATGAGATACTATGCAGCATATTTAGCCTTGACAAACAGAATCTTCAAATTCTATAATAATTATATATTTATGTAATATCACCTTAATTATATATTTTAGTGGTTTAAAATTGGCAGACCCCTTTCTCATAGACATATTTGTATCTTCTTTACAAAGCTAAATGATCATCTGAAGTGGTTTTCAAGTTCATGCGTTTACTAGCTTATGGGCTGTGCTTATTAGATGACAGATATTTCTGGCTTATATGACCAGGGACTTTGTTGTGTGTGGAAGATAAACGATGGGGTTTTGGAATGTTAGAGCTAGAAAATATTCTCTCCTCTCATCTCCCTATTTGAATGATAACATTGATACAATTTGAACTAGGCAAGGTAGAAATCAAGTCCTCAAGGGCCCTGAATTGAAACATATGCAGTAAGTTTCATCCTTTGAGGGTAGCGAAAGCTATCCTATGAGAATTCCGCTGGGAAGCCTAACCCCATCTACCCTACCACCTTTATCTTGCCCCTTCAGACTTCTTCCCCAAACTCAAAGTCATGGTGTAAACCAAAGGACAGAATTCTTCAGGGCAGAGAGAACAGAAATGTATAGATAGACCTAGATGGAGGATGTGTTGAGAAACAAATTGCTTAACCTTTCAATATTTTTGTTTAGTAAAAGTTTCTATGATTTTGTAGCAAAATTTTTTTACTTACCCACATATGTGTGTGAGGTTTGGGAAATAATCCGTTATCTTCTAAGTCCATTTATCCATAAATTTTTGAAGTCAGCTCATATATCTCCACAGGATACACAAACACACATTTGGAGATTATATCTATATCACATAGTAATATTTAAATATACTTGGTCCAAAAAGGTTACATCGATTAATATCTTTGAGATACAGTAAGTTGTAGATGATGATTATAGTCAATGATCGACTTCAGAAGGATATTAATGTGGAATGGTAAAAAGGAAATGCGATCCAGTTCTGCTTGTGTGATTCCTAGCAAGATATTTACGGTCTCTGAATCTCCTTTCCTTCATTTGCAAAACAGGAACAATAGCATGTATTTCACAAGATTAGACTTAGCCCTAAATAATAAATTATCCATAAGGATACTTCCATAAAGTGTAAGGCACACTCTTAATGTGAAATAATACAAACTAGAGGGCCAATTCTTTATCTTTACCTTTACAAAATGCCTTTGCCTCAGCCTCCCCAAATCATGGCTAGTCTGTCCAGGAAATCACAGCTTTTATGATTCTTATCAAAGCCCATTTCCTATCATCTAAATTAAAATCAAATTTAAACATTAAAGGACACCTTGCTTGCACAAGTTGTGTCAGTTGTAATGCTTTTTCTGTTAGTGAATGTCTGATTTGAGATCTGGGTTTGTTCACAAGTGATCAGACTACATCCTCCTGCAGCGTGTTCCTCTGGGGACCAGTGCTCTCGACAAGGCGACTGCAGTGACAATGAAAGCTTATTTTCTTGCTAAGCAGGCTACTATTCACCAGTCTGTGCTGGTTTCTAGGCATCTAGAAAGCAGTAACAAGACAACAATTTAGGAGCATAAATAAGCAAGATGGTGCCAGCATTGTGCCAGATTATAGAGCAGAAAACAAATCCAGGGGAGAGGCCAGACAATGTTCAAAGGGCCAGGAGAGAGTTTCCAGTTATGGGAAGGCTGGAATAAGAATGAGGAGACCTGTGGGCTAGGTATGATCCATGATAGCTTGCATGAATAGATCCAAGAAAGAACACATTCTGACTACATCAGTGTTTCTGACTGATGATCCTCGTGGTTTGGTGCCAGGTAATATGCCGGTTTAGAGTCCCTAGGTTCCTGAAGAAGTGGTGCGGTGTCTCAGGCAGGAGTGATGAGAGTCAACAGTCTTGATGGTAGATAGAGAGAGGAACATTTAAACCGGAATTATTTTAGAGGAAAAGAAATAGGATATGGTAACTGATGGCATGAGTCTTCATTTTGGAATAACAGTAGAAGTACACCATCACTCTGCACTGGAGACCTGGTGGTGTAGGGGTTACCTATTGGGCTGTGAACCACAAGGCTCGCAGTTTGAAACCACCAGCTGCTTCGAGAGAGAAAGACGAGGCTTTCTAGTCCCAGACAGAGCACAATGTTACTTGTTAAAAATCCTCCACAGAAATTAGAATAGATTACTAGGCAGGTGGTGATACTATTGACTGAAATAAAGAAATTGAAAAGAATGTTAGGGAGTTGAGGTTGAGAAAGAATGAGACATTATTTGGAAGAGGCTTCTCAGAGACTACAAAATGTAGCATAGCGAGCCCATATAAACTGAACAGATAATTCCAAGCATTTCAAAAGCAATTCTAATATTAATATGAAATGCCAAGAGGTAATCTCTGAGAAAACTTACATGAGTGAGCATAATCAGACAACGGAAATACCATTCCACAGATTTTCTTTCCCAAGCAAGAAGATAATGACATTGTAAGTGCATGGATGTGGAACACTTTGGAATTTTCATTAGATTTTTAATTTGTTTTCTCTCTGACATTCATAAAACTGTTCATCTTCTCTTTGCAAGCTGTTAGTTTAAAAATATGCCCATTATTTACACTCTAGTATAATTTCCAGTGAAATGAATTTCAGTGCTTTCTTTAGCTCTTGGCAAAGTTACGTCTAGCCACACCAATATTCCCTGACATTGCAAAATAAATGTCTTTTTTCCTTTGGTTTCTTCCAGGATCAGCATCTCAGCATGCTGGAGTATCATGTACCCGTCACAGCAGGAGGCGTAGCAAACATTTTTGATCTTCTAGAAACCCACAAGGCTTCCTTAAATATAACCAATTTCCTAGTGAGCCAGACCACTCTGGAAGAGGTAAGCTGGAGTCTGTGACTCATGTCTGCAGGTAGTCAGTCTCAGTTCACCATGGTGGGCCATTCTGATGACTCCACGGTGGGGCCA